CATGCCTTTTTGCTGCCACTTAATCTGCAGAAGCATGAGGACACACTTAAAACCTTAGCCACAAGGTCAAGGATTAATTAAAGCTTAAAGGGTTTCTGCAGATCTATGTAAATGCACATCTAATTTGGTAATTCTGTGTTTAATTATTTGTTTTTTCTATGTAAAAAAAACCCTACAAATTCATCATGCTTAAGTTTACACATGCTACTGCGGTGTTATTTAACTCTTGTGTTTTGATAATTAAATAAAATTACTTAGGGTTGTCATTACAGTCAGCTATTTTTAAATGTATTTTTAAATGATGCTCTGATTCATGCAAGTTAAAAAACATGCAACAATTTCTCATGCTTAACTGACTTTATCTGTTAATCCATGTTTTATTTTCCATTAATATACACATGTTTTATTTTCCGTTAATATACACTTGTGTGAGCAGTTTTTATACAAAAATAAATTAGTATATTAAGGGTAATTGTGAAAAAGGCTTATAGCTTATTTGAATTAATCTAGGAACCCCTTTCTGGAACTAATAGTGTCTTAATATGAGGACACTGTTAAAGACTCAAAAGACCTGAACCAGATCTCATGTGAAAGCAGCCTTTAACGCTAAGTCACTATCACCTTAAAACATTTTGGGTTTGTCCATTAGTTACAACTTCTTTAGATTCTCTAGTCTTCTTGACAAAATGACAGTTTAGACTATTTTAGTCAGACTGCATGGCATCACAAATCACGTATAAATTTACTTCTTTAGTAAGTGATGTGTTGATTCAAAAGGTTAACTTTGCATCAAAATAATGTACTCTTTAATCTTTACCGTTGACTAAACATGCAGTTACAGTGTAAATACTGAAAAATCAGTCATTTATCACACATAATATGTAAAATAATACTCAAAAGAACCTCTGAACCACAACCACAGATCCCTCATGGTTGAAAGGCAGACACTTTAACCGCTAAGTCACTACTCACTCCCCTTTAAAACATTTTTGGGGTGTGTTGTCCATTTAGTTACAACTTCTTTAAGATTCTCTCAGTCTTTCTTGACTGAAAATATGACAGTTTAGACTATTTTTAGTCCAGCCATGCATGGGCATCAAAAATTACATGATAATACTTCTACTTCTGTTAGTAAGTGATGGTGTTAGATTCCAAAATGGGTATAACTTAAATGCATTGAAGCTTTGCATCAAAATAATGGTACTGCTTTAAGTATTTACCTGTTGGAACTAAACATGCATTCTCACCAGGTCCTATAGCATACTGTATGTAATATTTAAAAAAAAATGTATTTTGTCATTGAAATCCCTTGACCTTTTAATGGAATTCCCAAATTCACAGCTGGGCAAATCCTTCTGAAAAATCAGCAGCTTTAAGGTTCATATGAGCCGTGTCACGACAAAACCAACATAATGGGTTTCCGACCAGCATGGAACCAGACCAGCCTGCGCATCCATGCAGTCTGATCAGGATCCATGCTGTTCGCTATCAGTTTCTCTACTTGTTATAGGGTTTGTAAGCAAACAGCATGGATCCTGATCAGACTGCACAGATGTGCAGGCTGGTCTGGATCCATGCTGGTCGCAAACCCATTATGTTGGTTTTGTCGTGACACGGCTCATATATGTGTTCACTTTAAATTAAAAAAAAAAATTATTATGTGTTCATTAAAGTGATTAAGAGATAATGAAATTATTTTCAAATATAACTTTTTTTTTAAAAGTTCACTTGGGAGCCAGTGTAATGAACCTTGACATGCATAAATAATGCCGATGAAGATGCAGAACAAACATTTTCAACAAACATTTTCAATTTCAACTAAGTAATCTGCACATTTTTTATCACCATGTAACATCTGGCACCAGATGAAGGACCAAATTTAACCAAGACAATCTATTACTAGGTCCGATCATATTATGTTATAGCTTAGCTCTAAGTGAATTCATATTACAGTATTTACTCCTTCTCGAAACGATAAGTTAATACAGAGAGGAGTCATGGTTGAACTGTTCATTTGATCAATAAATAGAGGATATTGAATGAGTGTAAGTTCAATACTAAATTTATTGCACGAGTTGAATAAAATTATATTATGCGAGCCTCTGGCGAGCATAATATTATTTTATTCAACAAGTGCAATAAATTCAGTAATGAACTTACACAAATCTAATATTCTATTTATCACATACCCAAAATTAAAACTGTTTAAAGTTAAATAAGAGTCATTTTTCATTGACGCGCCTGTAGTATAACGCTAACATTTAGTGCGTCTTTACACTATGTTTGTATAACACTAAGAGCGTCACGTCAAAATATATGCACGGCCGTGCAATACCATTTTTACGGAGTCGCAAAATCGGCACGGGTGTGTGATAAAACAGGAAATGTGTTAGCCATCTCATTTGCAGAACTGTTCCTTAGGCAGCATGCATATTGTCGTCACCCTAGATATATGACAATCATTTTATATATAGACTATAACTACAATTAATTTTCTTACCTGCACAAAAAATAAAACCAGTAAACATAGAATCACAAACTGCAGGCATACTGGAAAGCAAAACATCAACCAGTATAAGAACAGTGGGAAAAAATTCACTCTTGCACAGTCATTGAAGTAAAATGAGAACAGAGACACACGTAGTCCACTCCAAATCAGTGCTAAAAACAAGAACACAGTTTGATAACTAAATCGTTTATGTCTGTAATACCAGATCATCCATAACTGTAAATATACCATGGAAAACAGGACACCATACAATGAAATGTATGTTATAGTCAATCCTAGCTCAACTCTTGGTTTCAGAGCAGGTACGAGTGTGCCTGGGGTCGGATTTGGAGCAAATGTGATCGGTGGAATTGTTATTGTTTCCTTCCGTTTTTTATTTAACAAATGAATAATCTCAAATGAGCTTAAGTTGCCCGAAGGGACAAACGTCTTTTGATCCATGATTTCTTTTGTTTATGTTTTGATGAAATGTAAACAATGATCTGTCAAAATATTGATGATCTTTGGACTGTGTTCATCAAAGTAAAATCCACCAGACACCAACCAAACTAACATTTTAATTCGTACTCAAACTTTTCGCTCCTCTTCATTTTCGTCCAAATAATATCTATATGTATATTATTTTAGACCATATGCAATTTATATTAATGTATGTTAATTGATTCAAGTAAGTTATGTACTAAAAATCATTGACTAAATAAAATGTTCCGGAATAAAATAGTTTTAGACATTACAAGTAGACATATTTTTTCATATTCACAGGAGTATTTTGGAAACATTATTTAAAAAAATCATTGTTTTTTGCAGCAGATAGCTTAGTGCACTTAAAGACCTGGAATTTAAGGTATTTGAAGTCCCAGTTAAGACGTGTACCTGGTCACAGCTCTCTGTTACGTACATTTGAAAATAGTTAGTTCTAAATGGAATCCCTTAAACGCTCTAAACGGGAAATTTTAAAATGTTGTAGGCTAGGTTTGACTGAGCCTGTTCATGTACGGAAGTGGTATTTGCAAGGTACCGTCTATACCCCGTAACACCGGTCATGGTCTATAAAATTATCTATTTGAAAAACTTGCACCGGCTTAAGCATAATTCAACATTTTAAATAAACATGCAAATGTAAATTTAGAAACATCCGCGTTCGTTTCATTTCATGAAAACCGGCGGGTGGTCCCTGGTAAAGAATGCGTTTGCCCTTAGAAACAAAAAAAAGAAAAAAAGTGCGACACTAAAATGGAATCGTGAAAGGGCATCGGAGGTTATGAAGCCTGCATGCAACGGGTACTTAGCGCCAAAAGACAAATTTGAAAAGAAGGCAACAAGTATCCTTTAGCAGTATTCGATTAGGTGTTCCGGAACCACAAAATAAGTAAAAGATAAAATAAGGAACTTCAATACCACGTACATGACAAACACAAAATGCATGTTGCGGGGTCGGAATTTCACCTTATAGGCAAAATGTTTAGGACTGACAAAAAGAGCGATATTTTACTAATCGTTTTACATCTCCAGCCGCTTGTCCCGCTATATTATGTCCCTAACTGTGTATGTGTTTATTTGCTGGGCCAGTTTTAAATGTTAATTTCTGATCCCTTATTAAAAGGAATCACTTAATATTTAATTCATATTTCTGTGATAAAACAGTATTTAATAATAAATTGGTGCACAGAAGGGTATTTCTCCCTTTTGTTTTATTCGTTTTCTATCACACAAATGCCCGTAAATTTATTACTGGAATTTATAAAGTATACATGTTTATCACACACCCGTGCCGATTTTGCGACTCCGTAAATATGGTATTGCACGGCCGTGCATATATTTTGACGTGACGTCGTTAGCTTTATGCAAACATAGTGTAAAGACGCGCTAAATGTTAGCGTTCTACAAATTAAGGCGCGTCAACAGAAAATGACTCTTATTTCACTTTAAACGGTCTTTATTATGGGTATGTGATAAATAGAATATTAAATTCGTGTAAGTTCATTACTGAATTTATTGCACTCGTTGAATAAAATAATATGCTCGCCAGAGGCTCGCACGATATAATTTTATTCAACTCGTGCAATAAATTCAGTATTGAACTTTCACTCATTCAATATCCTCTGTATTGTGTAACGTTTTTAGGCACACAAACCCTGTCGGTGAAAAGCTAGCTCACCACCGAGATTACGTGGTTTATGCCCTTATATATTTGATACTATCCTTTATGTGAAGTCATCATCTTTTGTTTTCGCATATTGTGATGCTCATTATATGACGTTCTACCAACGTCGTTACATTACTTTCCCCTCCGAGAAGTCTCGTCCCGAGACTTGGCCTGAGAAATCTATGGGTAGGGCAACTCCGGTCTGGCAGTTGTCTACATCCCCACACTGGCCACCAAATGTAACGTTTTTAAGGCATACAAGAGCTAGCTTTTCACCGACAGGGTTTGTGTGCCTTAAAACGTTACAATTGTATTCTCACTTATATCACTGATTTTTTTTGTTGTTGAAAATTTGATCAAGACAAACGAACTATATTATTGAAGCCATTTTAGACAAATAGTATTTTGCTTGGTTGCAATGACGACGAGATAATTACATCATGTAACTGACTGTATTAAATAGTACAACTAAATACATGTAGACTTGTCAAACAGACATCAACATATACTTTTGCACGTGCGAGGTCTTCTTACCCCTACCCTTTCAACGGTTTGACAGCAGGAAAAAATCTAACATGGGTGGAACCGTTCACTCCGAGTGGATTAGGCTAGAAATAATGACCATATCAAGGTATAATAAAAAAATAAACCCTCATACATGTATAATATAGACACCAGCATTAATAAGAATTATATCAAATATTTTTGCATGGTTAATTTGTATTGTAATGTTTGTAAGTCGCCCAAATTGACGTCATTCCTATTTTGACAGATTCGGCTGCCTATACATACATATATGTACCAATTAATCGTCTAAAACGCACTAAAATCACCATGGATTTGTTCGTAGGCATTTTGGTGACAGGACAAGTAGTTATAAAAGAAATACATGTTTAAAGTTCTACGACGTTAGCCTATGTTTAGTGTATCATATGCCTGGAATCTTAACTTTATCTAAGGTAAAAAAAAATGTAATGATGTTATTTTCGTTATTTATGCATGATCATATGCTCATCTTTTATGTTAGAATTCCCGAAGCTGTTGTCAACGAGCAATGTGCAAATGTTTCTATGGCTAAAACAGTTAACGGATAAGTTCTATTTAGTTTTTTTTCAAATGCATAGATGGCATCTTCATCTCTGGTTTTCCAAACTCAATGAAAATTTTCAATGATTGATGTATAACTTGTTGTAACATGTTGTAAGTGATTGTAACAGTCTGTTGGCGGGAAAAGTAACATAGATCATATAGTTCTTTTCATCCCCAGACAGATCTTTAATTTGTAATCTTCACATTATAGATCTAACAATAATAACGTGAGTGTTTAAAGTACTCAATATCCAGTAACTCGTGCGAAATTGCGCTAAAAATAACTTAATTACACACAGTGTACATATTACAGTCCACCGTTTTCCGAAAAGGTAAATGGCAAAGTCCAAAGTGCTTGTTCTGTTAACTTTCTGTATCTTATTCTAGTAGAAAAACTGGTACATATAACAAATTATGTAAGTTGTTTGCTGGATATGTGCTTGAATACGCGTGTTAGAGAAATCAGTTTATTGTTTGTTCCTTGCTTAGAAACTCCCCCAAAAGTAATAAGCAATAATAAGGATTTTAAAGTCGAAGTACAAAGTACTTCCTCTTTCGTTATTGCATAATAAATAATACCACAGCATTAATTAAACACTGTTAAAACCGTGATCATACTCACAGACTACAGAAATTATTATTTGCATTGAAAATCAAAGGAAGCCAGTTCACAGGCGTTAATCCCCCTTGATCATCAAGAACAAACTTCCTTTTCAGCACACGTTTTCTATATGTAATATATGATAATCAAGGGGAGATTATTTTATGATAATTTGACCATTATTGGCAAGAAAAATGCCCCTGAATGCCTGTGATAGAGTCATGACCCCCATCCCCCACATATATATATATATTAAAGGATAATTATTATTGACTTGGCATCACTGGTCATAACATTATGTCCCCCTTTTCCCTCTGGTCAATGCAATCAAAGAATCAAAGCACAGAAGGTGCTGAATTTGTTTGGGTCTCAGAATGTCAGAAAGGTGAAGGTTGTGAGATTATAAACCAATTTGTTTTTGTAAAGTGCCACCAATGCTTTCCAGTGTTTTAACTGTAGTAAATTGGCTATAAGACTAATTGCAACACTGATAGTCAATTCAATGATGTTTATTTGACTTAAAAATTTAAAAAAAAATGAGTTGCCTCAACTGGATTTGAACTCCAGACCTCTCGATTCATAAACGAGCGTGCAAACCCCTTGGCCACGGTGAAGTTATATGTTATCGACCTGAAGAAAACCATATTATTCTAAATTAGGGTTTGTAACTCTTATTATTTCGACGCTAAACCTGTTGTTTAACACAGATGTAAATAATCATGGAGCTTACTGTAAGCATGTATATCTATAAAGAATGAAACAATATTAGAAATCTTCGACCATTCGGGAACTACTTTGCTTGAAAATTAATGCGCCTGTCATTTGACAATCTTTACGCATTGATCTCCCCTGAATTTTTCAGCGTTAGTGTACATATAAAGGGAAGGAACCGCTTAAAAAAAATGGACTACTTTAGGCATTTGCAATTAACAGCATTAGACTCTGAAATTTCGCTACCATTATTTGTTTGGTCTGACAACCCAAACAAATAAAAATGACCTTTGCAAAGTATGGTGACCCCCTTTAAATAATGACCGGCCCTGTCATTTGCTGTCTTTTTCAGAAATTCAGACGCTTTCGAGTGTATTGTATTTGTATTCCAATGCACAGTTAGATATAAAAAGTAACATTTTGTCCATTGGATTTGAAAAAAATAAATAGGGAATACTTATCATAATCACTGATCAGTAAATAACATTGAACAAAATGACAGTCTTAGCAAATGTCAGTAATAAAATCTGGGAGCTCTAAAAATATGTCCTGTACTTATTTCAGTGTTGTTATAATTTTTCTTGTCCTTTGGGATAATTGATACTTTTATTGAATTTATTCGATACTTCTTTAATCTGTGCTAACGGCATTAGAGATATTGCACCTTTTCCATATCACTCACGAATAGACTTTAAAAAGATATAATAAATAGAATAAAAAAAACCAAAAACAAATAAAAAACAACAACAACACCCCCCAAAACCCAGTTGATCCAGCATTACATACATATCATAAGCTTAGTCAGATATTTATTGCTGACTACATCCATTATTGCTGTTATTGGCTTTTTGGCTTTGTCTTATCAGAATGATAATGATCTAAATTTAATACAATTTAATTCAATTTATGTATTATAAATTATCTGTTATTTTTTCTATAATTGTGTTTAAGTAGTATTTAATGTTCTTACTTTTTACTTGCAGGATGGCATTCAGAAAAGGAAATGAGATAATAGATTGGCAGGCATTGTCCAAACAAATACACAAAGGTATCGTCGAATTAAGACAAGAAGATACTTGTACAGATTTTACTGTCGAAGTTGGTGAGAAATCATTCCGCTGCCATAAAGTAGTCCTTGCCGCAATGTCAGACTACTTTAAAGCAATGTTTACTTCAGGTATGAAAGAGACAGAACAGAACAAAGTTGTTTTAGATGAGGTAAACCCAGACTCCTTTCAAACAGTCATGCAAATTTTGTATCCTGAAGGAAATGTTAATCCTCTTGAGAAACCATCCGAGGATGAAATGTCAGATTTGTTAAAACTTTCTGGACGTTTTCAGATGCCATTTTTGAGAGATATTTGTCTGAAGTATTATGGTAGAACAATGGACACAGGTAACTGCATACTGAGATGGAAACTAGGGAGACAGATCTTGTGTGATGATTTAATCTGGTTGGGATATAGGTTCATTAAAGAACACTTTGAGGAAATAGTATTAGACAGTATCCTTGTGTCAGTCGAGTTTAAGGACTTTTTAGCCATTATCAAAGATGAGTCTATACATGTGAAACGTGAGGATATTGTGTGGTCTGCAATTAAAAATTGGATTTATTTTGACCTAGAAAAGAGAAAGGAGTTTATTGTGGAACTTTTAAGAGAATGTTGTTTGACAGAAATCGACCCTGATGTATTTATGGAAGAAATTGTTTTTGATCCAGTAGTTAGGCAAAGCGATAGAGCATCCACACTTCTACAAGAAGCAGTCAAATACAAAAGACATCCTGGTATTCATGGTGATATTGAGCTTAAATTCAGAGAGTGCCATGAAAAAAGACAAGTTACACTCCTACTTGCCAGGGAAAATGGTTGTTCTGATGGTGTGGCAACAATCGAAAGAAAAGATATGAAAGGATTTGCTGTTTGTTCTAACAAAGCATGGTGTCTAAATATTGATAAAAGATTTTCTTTCGACTTCGATAGAATGGAACATGGGGTATTTTCATGCTGTGTACATGAACAGTCAGTGTTTGTATTGACTGAAGTAGAGAAAGGAATTCGTGGAAGCAAGCTTTGGCAATACGAGGGTATGAGCCATAATTGGGAACCGCAGCGGGACATGGATGTGGCACTAAAGGGACATACTGTATGTGCAACAGATGGATGTCTGTATGTTATAGGCGGCAGATCATCAATTGACTTAAACGCTCAAGTCTGGCTGTACAATATTGACAGTAACGCTTGGAATTTTGATGGTTATATAATGGCAGCTGTTGTGAATGCCTCATCTATCTACTTCAACAACAAGATCTATATTTTTGGTGGAAGACTTGAAGACAATGAAGCTGCTCAATGCATACAAGTTTACGACACACAGAAAAAGGAGGGTACTATCTTTGGAAATTTGCCAAAGCCATGTATCTGGTCCCGAGCTTTAGTCAGAGGGTCAACTGCTTTTGTTGTTACTTCTGATGGTGATGTGGTAAGTGTTTTGTTGGAAAGTGGGGAAACAACGATCATATCTTCCATTCCAAATTTCAAACGTGTCAATTTTGGAATAAGTTTGCAACAAAATGAGCTTTATGTTTTTGGGGGTAAAGAAGTTGAAAATGATGATAATGTTGATGAAGAACAAATTGTTCTGAAAAGAAATTCTCCAATAAAAGGTAATTTCATGATCAACGTCGAAACAGGCGAGGTTAAATCATCGAAATGGTTGCAAAAGGTTGGAATCAGTGAGGATTACGAAATTCTAGCCAGTGCTTCAGTAGTAATAGATCACAAAAACTTAAAGCTTATAGGGAAAACAATGAAAAACAAGAAATGATGGAGATTGAGAGTGTTATAATAAAGAATGAGCAATGCTTAATTATCTTAATTGAGTAAACGAACATAATCTGGACTAATGTTTCTTGGCAAAATAAACACAGTGCTCCCAATAATTAAGTCAAACAAGATTCAGAAGTAAATTACAATACATGTATAACAAAATTGTGTGTACATTTTAAAAAACCGACAACAAGTTGTGTGTACATTTGAAAATCTACACGCCTTGACAAAATACTGCTTTGTTGAAAAGTGCATGTTGATATTTCTGTCTTATTTTACCTTCTACAATGTATATGAAATATACAATTTAAGCAGTACATTGCAAACCATCGTTATTCTTGACTTTATGTCTTTAAGACCAAAATCTTTACTTTTGAATGGTAAATTTCAACCAAAATACTATGTCAATTTTTTAATGAAAACTTTAACATAGCTTGTTTGTGTAAAATTCATCGTTCAACACTCGTAGTTCATGTAAATATATGTTTGTGGTAGATGCATTACTTATTATATATATATTTTATATCAGTTGATAAAAAATTATTGTCATCATAATAACTGCAGACAGCAGCTGCATGAAGTCTTTCAAGTTCTGTGTTTTTTGTAACCGAGATAATGACAACATGCATCTCCACAAAAGTTAGAGTGCAGAAACTGAAATTTTTTAATTTTTTCCAACGTTTAAGAGGGATAACTCTGTCAGAAATCATCATACCACGACCAAATTTGAACCTGACCAGCGTATTTCTATGACATATCCATTTGTTAAATTTGAGTTTAATATGTACAACTGCTTGGGAAATAATGAACTGAAACTGAAAAGTACCCATTTTTATATGCCTGAAAGGGCATATTATGTTAAACCCCCTGGCGTTCGTCTGTTTGTCCGTCCGTCCGTTAGCAATTTGGTTTCCAGAGCATAACTTATGTTCCATTTGGCCCACAATGTTCAAACTTCATAGGATGATTGTCCATATTGGGTAGAAGACCCCTATTAATTTTGGGGTCAAAAGGTCAAAGGTCAAGATCACTATTACCTTGATACTGAAAACAGTTTCCGGAGCATAACTTAAGTTCCATTTGGCCCACAATATTCAAACTTCATAGGATTATTGTCCATATTGGGTAGAAGACCCCTATTGATTTTGGGGTCAAAAGGTCAAAGGTCAAGGTCACAATTACCTTAAAATTGAAAACAGTCTCCATTTGACCCACAATATTCAAACTTCATAGGATGATTGCCCATATTGGGTAGGAGAACCCTATTGATTTTGGGGTCACAAGGTCAAAGGTGAAGGTCACAATTACCTTAATACTGAAAACAGTTTCCGAAGCATAACTTTAGTTCCATTTGGTCCACAATATTCAAACTTCATAGGATGATTGTCCATATTGGGTAGAAGACCCCTATTGATTTTGGGGTCACAAGGTCAAAGTCACTTTTACCTTAATACTGAAAACAGTTTCTAGAGCATAACTTATGTTCAATTTGGTCCACAATATTCAAACTTCATAGTATGATTGTGCATATTGGATAGAAGACCCCTATTGATTTTTGGGTCACAAGGTCAAAGGTCAAGGTCACTATTACCTTAAAATTGAAAACAGTCTCCGGAGCATAACTAAAGTTCCATTTCGCCCACAATATTCAAACTTCTTGGGATGATTGTCCATATTAGGTAGAAGACCCCTATTGATTTTGGGGTCACAAGGTCAAAGGTTAAGGTCATTATTAATAACTTAAGTATTAATCAACCTACAGCTGTAAAATTTAATAGGATGAATAGCTTATTCCCATGTCTTACAAATGCTTCATTCTTACTAAAAAAAAAAACACTTTCGGGCATATAATGCTCCACCTAGCGGTGCTCTTGTTTCAAAGTTAAAGGGGCATGTGTACAACTGTTGGGGAGATAATGAACGAAAACTGAAAATTTTATCAAGGGGCATAACTGTCAAAAATCATCACACCATGATCAAATTTGATCTTGATCTGCATTTTTATATAATATATTGATATGTCAAATCTGAGTTGAATATGAGCAACCATAACCAAGATAATGAACGGAAACTTATGATGATGGAATGAAGGAACAAGGTAACACGATATGCTCCATTTTATGGCGGGGGCATAAAAACAAACTTACATATAGTAGGCGTTGTGGTAAAGTCATACTGTAAGAACAAATTGCAAAGAAATAATAATTAATTCAGTCAAAATTCCTTATAACGTTTTAGCAAGATATTTGATTATCTCATCTAAACTAATGAATGTAACTTTTTTCCCTATGTATAGTAGATATCTTCTGACAGAAATCATTGACATATTCACTTCATGCTCACTTATGTAAACTTTTCATCTTATTCCATTGCCTTTTGTAAGATGGTCAAAATTATTATTTTAATATAGCTTAACATAATAATCTATCAACAAAGTGGTTCCACAAGGATCTAGTCTTGGTTCTCTCTTATTTAACATTTTCTAATATTTTATTTTATTAATAAAGGTTCTGTTGATAATTATTGCACATGACAATAACCTCTCATTCAATCATAATGTGGAAACTCAAAGCACAATACAAGGTGAAAGTGTACAAGAAATAGTGGCATCAAGAATCTGAAAGTTAGACACTTTTTGTTTGCTTGTTTGCCTATATAGCCTGAAACTATATTTGTTAATGATCTATCTCATTTGATTCTTGAGTAACTTATTAGCGTTCACTTTTTTGCATTGTTGAAATCACATAAATGCAGCTTATAAAAAAAGGTGATAAACAGAATAAACTTTTCTAAACTTTGTTTTTTCCAGGTACGCATGTACCATTATTTTTACGTAGAGTTATAATTTTCATTAATGATTATATCACATTTCATTCTTGAGCAGCTTATTTGCATTTACATTTTGCATTGTTGAATTGTCATATTGTGAATAAATCAGATGCTTGTCCCTTCCTTGCTCATACGTTTTCATCCCATTGTTGTAGAGAAAGAAAACAGGCTAATTGAAATATTGTACTTTGAATTAGATTCATTTGAAGTTAAATTTATACTTTGAATATTCTTTATTTTATGTTATAATTATGCATCATGAACAAAATAAACTGGATTGAACGTTAACTGTGTTTACTTTATCATTCCAGGGTTTAACTCTTCAAGAAACTATCTTAAATTACAGTGTACTTGCATAGGATGATATTAGTACTCGAAATACACAAGTCATATGCAGAATTATAGCTTCTTTGGTTTTGGGTCAAAATAAAGGAGCCCATGCAAATCATCTTTCCACAAATATAATAATAGTCAAAACTGTGAACAAAGGTCACCTAAAGGACATGGTCTTTATAGACAAGTGGTTTTTATCTAAGAATTACTCTGTAATCAATGAACCAATGTTGTAAAATGGTCTTTATTTACAGGCTGATCATTCAGGGATGGTCTTTAATACAGGTTTTGGCTGTAGTTAGACAACAGATTATAGTTTCTGCTGTCTACAGACAGATGAGCAATAAAAGTCATTTTGGATAAAAAAAAGAAAATAAGACTGTATCATAAAAACAACAAAAAGTAGTTTTTGTTGGTCATTTATTTATTATTAAATAGTATAATTATATTCTTTAACACTCACTTGACATTTTCATTTAGAATGGTAAATGATAGTAATTATAACAATATAGAAATCATAAAGTAACTGTTACACAATAAATTCATTAATTCTGTTTCAACAGACCTCACAGACAGCTCATTACACATTGTGAGAATGTTACACCCTTGTTCGCCACTGACAGAGTACCCTTACACACAAAAAATAAATAAACTACCGTATGCTTATACATGCTTAAGCTGAAACGTTGGAATGAGAACATTGAACATTTGATTTGGTCATGTCTTAATAACCGGATGAAACTTTCACACTTTAAATGCCCATTAAGCCTCAAAATTAGTACATGTATTATGTTTATTTCACAAAACATTTTTATTTTTGGTGTCTTGTTACTCATTCCCAAAAAGTTTCTCATTTGCCATTAGATGAACCTTTGCCTGTGGACTAGGGCATTCAGTACAGTTATAGTGATTTTGAATGAGAATCCAAAAACCATTTTGTTTTTGTTTTGCTACTTTTATCACAAATTATTTCACATCTAATGCAACTATCTCATCACTTCATGGAATAAACATCTAACATGCTCTAAATTCATTTCTAAGAAGGAAAAAAAAAGAGATTTGAAGTGTACTGTGCCTTTAATAAAATATGTGTATGTAAGTAAAATAAGTTATTAAATTATGAGGTACAAAAATGAACACAACATTGCGTTATAACGGTAGCAGTAAATAAATATATTTTTCAAAGGTGGTTGCTCTAAAGAATATTGGAACCTATAACCAACATTCACCTCCCACATGTCCCATTATCACTGGTAAAGGATTTCAACAACTTAAACAAATTGTGACAAGAGTTATTTCCCTTGTTGACCACCATGATTTGCATTATACATAATATGATATATATATTTCCTGCCTTCACCTTGTGAATTCAAATGACTATCAATCAACATTTTTATCAATTACTATATGGTCATAAAAATGCTTATCTTTGTATCAATCGACCAGTTTTATTTGGATATTTTCTTATTTGTTGCAGGGTTTTCAAATAGAAAGACCCTGTTTGGTTTACACTTATTTATTTTAGTTTGATTGTGTTGAAAACTATAAGCTTATTGAAACACTCTCGAATCTGTTCCTGGAAAGCAATGAGTGTAAACTTTAAGTTTCTTGCTCAAGGAAACAAGGGCTTGCTCCTGACAGGGTTTGAACCCATGCAGCAAGACCCTGTTATTTGGTTATAAAATTTTTACTAAGAAATAAAAAGATAATTTTACGCCACCGGCCCGGCAATCAAGTGATGAAAGGTAGTTAGTGAAATAAATACAATTAATGCCCTAGAAATATCTATATTAAATACTTAGGAAAGCCTTCATGTGGGAATCAAGTTTGATTTTTCAGTACATAATTGCTATGGAATATTGGTATTTTTTCAATGCTTGATTGGAAAAAAAAAGAGTAAATTACTCTTTACTTTGTTTGGTAATTTGTAAGTTCCCAAAGGGGGATAATTCAATAATTATCAATGAAAAATAAAATTGCAAGAAAATCTTTAACCAGATGTTAGGCCATCACTAACAAAGGGGTGCCTATGAAAAAATCCCTCTATACTTCAAAAAGTCCAGCTTATTTCTGTGATATTATATTTAATTTACATAACATACAAATAATGTAAAACAAATAGTAAAATAAAAATATACTTCTAATACAAAATACATGTATGTGCACCAAGAACAAATATCACAATGTTTATGTCTGATATACAGGTTATCAAATAATGCATAATTAATACTTTACATATACACATGTACAAATATCAAGTTAACTCAGTAAAATTAAACTTTGCCTATGTGGTTGACAGGTTAAGAATTTGTTTAGCTGTCCTTTAAGTCACACAAACATTAACGTCACATGGCAACTTTCCAACTTAGCTTGTTGAGAATGTCATGGACGTGCTCTGTGCAACTGACCACAAGATGTTAGCAGTGTTGGTATAATCTAAAACCCAACAATAAAATAACAATAATAAATTAAACACATATAATGTCAGAAAACATAAACTATATCGATCAGTCAATATCACATAGTTTGCACTTCAATTTTTGTTTATTTACTAAAATATTTCGTCAGCTCATGTAAGTGTAATTTTTATTTATCATGAAAGTTGCCATTCTTGGATTTTACTGCCCATTTTATGAGTAGCTGTTTCACCTGTATCATTGCTTATGTTTATGTTTGAATTGTTCCAGCCATTTGTTGTAAATATGAAAGCTATCTTGTAATAAAGAAATGATATCACCAAATTTTATAGGTAGACAATGTCCATAGCCTTAAAATTTTATTGATCAGAATATCAACATGGCTGCTTCGTATAAATTGTCACATCCTCTAAGTATATTCCTAATGCCATATCTATTTTTGTGCTTGCTCTAGCCATTTGTTGCAAATATTTATCACAGCTGTCTGTCCGATGCTTTTCGCAGCACGCAGAATTCTTCGTACATCGTCAACTCGGTTTTCCTTGACTGATAGAAGGTACGCTGATCTCAATTTGCCACAAAGTATATAAGCATTTATCTGAAAGAAAAATATAAAGTTATGACTATATATTAGGGATGTTACCAAATCCTGAAATCAACTTTGTCACATTCCAATATTCTGCTAAAGAAAGTTTATTTTGTAACCCTATTACAAATACATTTGTTATACAAAATTTAACCTGTTTTTTGAAGTTACATCATTATTCTGACATAACAAATATCAAGTATTTCAACAGTTACTGAGTGGAAATCAAAAATTTCATATGCAATCACATTACAAATCTGAACTCATTAAAAAATCAAACAATTTTTTACTTAATCAAACTTGTCTTTAGTTTTGGTATCATATACTTGATACAAAATAAATTTCATCCTTAGTAATATATCCCATACTTGCATCCAAAATATTATTTTACCCTTAGTACATTATCACATACCTGCATAAAAAATAATTTCATCCATAATATAAATATCATAAACTTGCATACAAAATATATTTTTCTTTAGTTTTGGTATTTTAAACTTGCATACAAAAGATAAATCAATAAATGAAGTGTTTCTTTAATTAAAAATCTATAAAAATTCGTCAATGAATATAAAAATAAAACTGTTCTTTATATCTAAATGAGTAAACATGTATCATACACAGTTTTAAACTAAAATTCTGGGAGAGATAAATTTTAAAACAATGCCTGAATAATGAACTACTTATCTATACAAAATCTAAATCAACATACCTTGTTTGCATTTCTTCTTAGCATTTTGATGATATTTTCTGCTTCTTTTACCTGTAATTAGAACAGCTCTTTATATAACTTCAACAATATATCTTTTAGTTCTGATATCTTTGCTGATACATGTAGTGAGATTATGATAAAAAATGTGATTTTATGGATATTATTATATATTAATATTATACTGAAATTTTTGTCTAAATTATAAAAAAGCATTATCTTAATCAATTTATAATTTACAAATGTATTTAATTGCTATCATATCAGTATACCATCACTTTTCTTGCTAAATATCTAAAACGGACGTAACCATCTTTCAAACTGGACAAAAAATACTAACCATTTTTAGGGAAAATTTCAAAATATACTGACTGAATGGGGAACAGTGCAGACCATGATCAGATGGCAAAGTGGTTGCAGTGATAGATTTAATTGCTATTAGCAGGCTAAAGGTCAAGAACATAGGCTATACATAACAAGAACTGTCGGAGGACAGTAACGCTCGACTATTCAAAAATTTGTCACAAGGGTGTTTCATTGAGTATAATAATGCTTACCTATATGAATACATAAAATTGTCCGAAAAGGTACAAACTCTTCAAGTTTCAATACATTCCCTTCAGTAGTTATGCAGATACAAGCTTACATGCAAAATCTTAACCAAGAATTCATGAGTCGAAAAAGGGGCATAATTATGCAAAGAAGCAAATCAGAGTTATGGGACTTGTACCAATCATCTAAGATAATCACAGAGACCAAGTGTGTGAAGTTTCAATCCATTCCCTTCAGTAGTTATGGAGATACCAGCTTACACGCAAAAACTTAACCAAGAATTTCTAAGTCCAAAAAGGGGCATAATTATGTAAAAAAGCAAATCAGAGTTATGGGACTTGTGCCAATCATCTTAGATAATCACAGAGAACAAGTGTGTGAAGTTTCAATCCATTCCCTTCAGTAGTTATGGAGATACCAGCTTACATGCAAAAACTTAACCAAGAATTTCTAAGTCGAAAAAGGGGCATAATTATGAAAAAAAGCAAATCAGAGTTATGGGACTTGTGCCAATCAACTTAGATAATCACAGAGAACAAGTGTGTGAAGTTTCAATCCATTCCCTTCAGTAGTTATGGAGATACCAGCTTACATACAAAAACTTAACCAAGAATTTCTAAGTCGAAAAAGGGGCATAATTATGATCAGTGAGCCAGTTATTACCTCACTAGGAATATCAGCAACTACTAAGAGACAGGCTCCCAGTATCTCATCCATAACATCATCTGTTGCCATATCCGTCTGCTCAATACATTGTAATAACAGTCGGATTCTGTCGTACAGACGGCATTTGGCCATCTCTCTAGCAACATGTGTATATATACCAACTGCTCCCAGTTTATATTCCTATAAAATAAAATGTTTAATATTGCAGAAACAAAAATGTGCTGACATTGTCTCACCTACATAAATATGGCAATAACAACACATGTAATCTTTTTGGTAATCCACTTCGCTAAAGCTTTCAAATAATGAAAAAAAAAGTAACCCGATGTCAAAATAAATCTGTTAAAAATTTTACATTAGCAGCAGTTTTTTTGGGGGCTAGGTTTTACGTCTTATCCAAACAGTAGAGGTTATATGGAGACTTTCCAGCTTTACTGGTGGAGGAAGACCTCAGATGCTCCTCTCTGCATTATTTCAGGAAAGAGCAGGAATCTTAAGTAAAACCAATAATATTCCGTACACTAGTTCACATGAAAGAACCCAAAGTTCCTGGTGGGATTTGAACCTACAGGGGTGAGATCAATGTATAAGTAAATATACATATCTTATGAACATTTGCAAAAGAAAATGCTGTTTTATAAATATTCTGTAAATATTGTGAAAATTTTGTAAATATTCTGTTGTAATCTCAACACCTAGCTGCCACCAGTATAGAGTCTGACCAGCCTACACATACATGCAGTATGACCAGGCTCTTTACTGGTGGTTGCTTAATTTTTGTATTTTGAAGTTGAAATCCCATTAACTTAGAATGAACTGTTCCTAGTTGTGGCTTCAAAAACTTTATTTACCACTTCTGAACAATTTTTTCTTTCAAATGTTGCGGCATTGTCCTGTCACAGTGTAAAAACGGTTACGCTGAAGACCTTAAGCTAGACTGTTCCAAACTCAAAGCAGGGTAAAATATTCAGCTGACTGTACTAGGCTTCATTCTTTCATCATAATTGAGCTCAAATAAATTATCTTCAAAATAACAAATCTATTTTTTTTTAAACTTTACCTTTATAATTCTTGTTGCCAAAGTAAATGATGTCTCAATATTTTCACCAATCATCATTATCTACAAATAAAATAAATATAAATAAAGAAAAACATGATAATCATGTTTATAAGCAAATATGTTCACAGAAGGCAGACTAATTATGAACATTAATATTTTAACTTCTTAAAACACAAGCTTAGTTTGATACAGGTTCAATGTCCACTACTGTACATCACATAAACATTTACATAGTATTTATATATTGCAATGTACTGTCACACTTCTATAGTGTCAAATATCTTTATTGTCTCAGATCTTTTTTGTATAATAATGTGTTAACACTATCATTCTAACATTGGGTATACTTTCTGCTATACTTAAAATAATTCAATCATTTACCATTATAACCAATTCATTTCGGACTTGCTGACTTCCAAACAATGTAGGCACCCTGGAAGATCCAATTTTTGACATAGCTGTGGAAGCTGATTCCCCTTCTGAACTAGTCAGACATGCTTGAAAATATTTTGTGATCTCTATTTGAAGAGCAATTGTTTTGATGTACCTAAATAAAAACATTCATAATAACTTTCTGATTATTTCATGCACACAAATACCTTTAAGACCCACAGTTGTTTCCCCTTATAGCCATGTTGCAAATAAATTATCCGAAAATAAGGCCTTGCAATTTTTGAAAATAATATATTCATAGTTTTTTCCCTGTGTCAGTTTACACAAAACCTAGTGGCTCTTGAGACAAGACCAATTTTTAACTGAAGGGCCATGACTTGTATATACTAGGTTTATTAGGCAATGCAAGATATCAAACTCAAGACCTTGTGGTTTTGAATCTTTTTTACTGAAACCAAATGACCCTGGAGGATGGCTAATTTTGAAACCAATGTCACGAACTGAACAAGCTTAATAGATGACTTCTATTCATATAGAATATCTAGTGACCCCTAGGCCTTTTAAAGGGGACCACAAGCAATGCTATTTTCTAACTATGAAGGCTCTAAAAAAGGTAAAATTTTTTGAAAGTTTCTTCTAAAAACCACCAAATGCATCAGACCGGAACCATTCATATGGCTTATATTAAAAAAGCCTTTATTTGGAGGGAGATGCAGTTTAATGTAAACAGGAGTAATGACACAAAATGAATAACAAACAACACTCAACCCGAAGTCTTACCTTAATAACTCATGTCAGCTAAAGCTCAAAATTATTATCAGGATTTGTATGCAAGACAATGATTAGGTATTCAGCCATAAAGGTTCTCTTTATTGTATTAAGTCAATGAAAAGTGTTTTTAACCTGTTAACTTCATCTGGACTCTTGACCAGTCTCACAGACACTTGTTCTCCTTTATTTTCCTTCTCTTCCCACGATCCTTGCCTTTGTATCACAGACAATGGGTGCTGAACATTACCCCAGTTAGATGGATCTAGATATGCCTAAAAACAATAATATCATTGTAAAAACCTGTGTTGCCAAGTATGTAAACTCTACTTTCAGTCTCGCAAAAAAACAGTTATCTATCTTTGTCTAAATAATAACAGTGACCTTCAATTTGGCCATTTTCGACCCTTGTAACATGATTTAAATTTTTTTTTTGTACAGGATCCCTAGGCAATATTACATGCTCAATTTTATATATACTCTAGACTTTTAAGAAAGATATAAAGGCGTTTTTCACATCAGACTTTACAAAATAACAGCCAAAAGATCATTATTTATTTACCTACAGCAGCTCACCACCATGTTAAACTACATGCTTAAAATCTAAGCTATTAGCCACTGTGTTGTGGCTAATATTTATCCAGGGGTCAAGATAGGGACATGCGAGTACCATATTTCTCTGTGAAGGAAAATGTGCAACAAAGTTTACTCTAGACAGATGGATGGATGCACAATAACAAAATTATATCCCTTCACCATTCAGGCAGGAAATGATAAATTACAAATACCTGCATATGTTGTTGCGCAGTGAAGAGATAATTGATTCTTCTAGCAAGGTCAATGTAACTGTGAGCTCCATCTTGATAGAAGTATGTAAAACACGTCATTCCCGCCCTTATAAAGTCCTGGTAAAATAAACAGAAAACTGTTCAAACATGATTTATATACAATAAAATCATTTATTTTTTGTTTTTTCAATGAGATATTGAAAAATATCAGTGTGATATAAGCCATATCTTACTGTTTGAAACAGACTGAGATACAGAATTTTGGTTCTGAAAAAGATTGCAAAGTAGATAAAGATTTTAATAATGTCATATTAACAAGCCTCAATTTGTGTTAATTAAGGTAACACTTGGCTGCTAGAGTTAATGTTACTATTTTGATACTGACACCCCTTGAACTTGAAATGGATGGTTCCAAATGGAAAGTGGGACAAGTTCATTACAAAAATCAAGCAGAGTTAAAGGACTTGCCATAAAACAGCTTACCTTCATAAACAGTTGAAATTCATACAGGACATGATGTAGCTTGTGTTTGACAAAATATCTACAAGATGCGGTCAAGAATGGGTTCCAGAGTTCTAGGGATGGATCAATAAGTAACATCTGGTCTGTTAGACGACCTAAATCTCCAGCATCTAGAGATGGCTTGAGTAAACCCTCTATATATACTTCTACATTACATCTCTGAAAGCAAACAAAAATAAAATGTGGACAGACGATGGACGCAAATGATGGGCCCTCCTAATAGCTCAACTGCACTATGTGCAAGGTAAGCTAAAAAAACTGTAACAAGAGAAAAAAGAAATTTATGAGTCACTGTTATGAAATGTCATTGCATTATTTCAAACTAAGTGTTCTTAAAAATTTAAAGATTTAAATGCAGAGGAATTATTGTAAGAGGCTGTTTATCAAATGCACATGTGCCTTTGTTCATGTTCATGATAGCACATGATCTGTGATCATTTTGAAATACTAAGATTGTTTAAACTACAACTACCGGTGTTGAAGCCAAATAGCACCTTTATGCTGACTGGTCAGGATGCCTTAATAAGGAAATCGTATACAGGGCAATAACTCTGAAAATAACTATGAAAATGTATATGACTCATATTTTAAACTATGTACTTTTGCATATGTATTAATTCACCTTTCAATCTAACCAAAGTAGGGCGAAAAGATACAACTTTGATAGTTGGTCCACAAACTATATTATATGAGGAAAAAAAAAACAACACAATTTTCAGAAGTTAGTTGTAACTCACATGATCTAGAATGTACTGTACAGCTTTCATGTAATAACCATGACGTCGATGGAAATCTACGATAGATAGGTATGTGCCATATGTTCTAAGATAATAGAGACATTCTTGAAACTGTTGTGAATCCATACTGGCTTCTTCAAAAAAGGTCTGAATATATCAAAAATATTTACTTTATGGAGAATTTGTAGAAATATTGATTAATTTAACATGTTCATTTGTTTTACTGAAATTTGTACTTCAACCATAAATCTCAGCACTGGTCTGATTAAAATTCATTTTAGTTTTATCTTTATGCGCACTTATACACCAAAACTTTAATATTAGAGGAAGACTTAAATATTAGTAACATATTAAATTTTGTTATTTTGCTGTCTGTATAAATCTCTCTTTAAATATGACAATATAATAATAACAACTACATATACATCTACTTGTAGATATCTATAAAGCATTAAATGTTATAAAAGGATGAACTTACACTGGTTGGTGTATTTATCAAATTTTTCAGGGAACCTGGATTGGAAAGTAAAACCTGTATCTGAAATATACAAATAAACAAGAGTGCAAATAGCAGCAAGGTGACTATCAAGAAGAGCCATTTTATCTGATTGTGTCCAAAATTAACCTTGATCTTTACTATATAATATTAAAGACTAGCATAGCAAATTGAAATTTTATCAGTAAAATATTTTTAATAAACCATATACATGTATATGTCATAAGTGTTTAACCATTGTATTCCCAAAAGAAATTTAGGGTGTATGCAGTTAACTGAGACACAAGATTAATGTCCTAAAAAGGATCTAAAGCAAAAGTGGTGAAAGGACTGCGAAATGCAAAAGTACATACCTCCATAGCTCCTGTTCCTGGCATGCATTCTAAACTATCTATTACATCACTTAGAATCTTTGGTAATGGACTACACACATTTTTGTCTTTCACTGGCTGAAATGTAATGAATCAGTCTAAAGAATGCCATTCACTGCTTTCTTTCATTAGACTTTAAAAGGTGAATTTCAAGAAATACTTGAGCTGGTACAGTTTGATTTTCAATATGTTTTATATCATCAAGTATCATCTTGAATCACTCAGCAACAGAGGATGATGGCTAAGAGACAAGGCATGTTTCTTATATAAAAGCACTTTACTGAGGTCAGGTTTTTTTACATGACAGGTCTTGAAATATTTTTCGAGATTGATATCTCATTTGAAGTAAGACAGGACAAAAACATTTATGCAAAATCTTAAAGTTAACTCTCAATTTGTTTACCTTGTTGACAAAAAAAAATATTATTACCTTTAAACATTTACTGAACTTTTCCCTGGCCCCTGCAAAGTCGCCACTTTGAAGACACACCATTCCCCATGACACCCAGACACCTGTGGGATCTAAACCACATTTTGTTGATACCTCCATGGCTAATGATAATCTCTCATCACCAATCAGCTTATCTCGAAGTCTCCTGAGGAAAGTAACAATTAAGCAAGTACTAATAGGTCCCTGTAAATTACTCTAAAATTTAAGAAAGAACTGCCTTTCTCAAGTAAAACTATGAATGTTGAAAAGCTTATTTTCATGATTTCATCATCCTACAGACAAAATACATGATTTTTCAAAAGAAGTCAGAGAGCAAGACATGATTTCAAAGTGAACCTAATTATTATCCCATAATTAGACACAGTAAAAAAATAATTATTTATTTAGTAACAAAGGGCCATAACTTAATAACACACAGGTACATTTTGATGGCATTTAAAGTGAATCATGTCATGATAAAAAAATCTCTACTCTTTTCTCTTGAAAAATCTTATTTAAATATAACACTTTCAAATTTCAAATTTTAATCAGCGGGGGTCATAGATGACCCCCAAAGGCTCATAATTCAGTCACACTAACATATATATGTTGTTACCATAGTTTTTACAATATACCTGACTGAGTCAACTTTAGTCAGTTCATCAATGGATGGTAGATCTTTGTAATTATCTACAACCAGCAGTGCCAGAAGGTCCACTAGACCCTGGTACTTATCACACTGACCCATACCAGCATTGTCTCCACACTTGGTAAACTTCATTTTAGCATGAAATAACAGGTACTTCATCATACTGTAAGGTAACATAAATAGAGAACATTTAAATTTTTACTATAAAAACAGGCTTTATTTTCATTGAGTGGTATGAAAATAAATATTTCAGAAGTCGCAGTAGCCATGTGCAAAATATGATAATTTCATATCATACATTATTTCAGGTATGAACAGGCACCTGAGTAAAACCATGACGTTCCTTAAGCTAGCTGGATAGCTTCCTCACAAGAAAGAATCAAAAGTCCCTGTTGGGATTCAAACCCAAAGTGTGTGGGGGCAAGTGGTTTGAAGTCAACAACCTTAACCACCCAGTCACAGACATCCGTACAAAGTTTTATACATTTTTTTTCTTAAATATACTGTTAGATATATTACATATACAATATATCATTTATATTGACAGACCACATTAAATGGTGAATGAAATTAATATGAGATGAACCACCACAATCAGATATCCACAAAGCCACTTTAATTAAAGTTTATCTATAACCTGCCAATTTTTCTGTTTGAAATCTGCTGTGGTCATAGTATTATTTTTACAATAGCTTTAGCTCTTAAATTTGGTTTGCTATTGCTAACCATGGTCATGCAACTACATAGTTAGGTAAAGAAGCAGACGTTTGTTTTGGTTGAGTCTATTATGTTTTGTTTAGGGGGTGAGTTGTCATACACAAATTTACAATTTATATGCATTTATTTTTTCCCAATGATTGTTATTATCTTAAATGCTTCTGGGATCGTTTTTTATCAATTCATTTGTAAATGAAATTGTTATATGTCTATTAACGGAATAATTTTAATGAACACAAAATTAGTTCACACCTACATGTGTATTGATAATGTGATGGTTTAAGCCAATGAAAACACATCAATATTATTACAATCAGGCAGAGAAAAAGAGTAAATCGATAATCTTTATGTAGCAAACAAACTTTGAATTGCAAGTATTTTTTCATATCTTTTTGGCAGGATTAACTGTCCGAGGAGGGCCAGGCATTTTCGTATCGTAAAATGGCTGCCATTTACAGTATCAAGTGATTATCCCAAGCACCACCGCGACTTAGCGCGGGAATTATAAATATAGCTAACATCGATGTTTCATATTTTATCGTAATAAATATTTACAAACTGTGTCTTTCGTTTTTTATCAATATATAACCAATAATGATGTTAATATGAATTAATAATCATATCTCAAATCTTTGACTATGATTTACAATGAAATTCTACCTAAGGTTTTTAATTTCCTGTAATTTTATTTTGTGATTATGCTTCAAAGCAGTCAATTGACCGTGAATTTTCTTTTTATATTTTGATTCCATGAAATCATTTTTCTCATCTGAAGGCATGCAACTTTAATATGGTGATACATTAATTACATTCCATGAAAATGTTTAAAGATATAAAATATCTCATGACATGTTTGTTCTTTTTACATTACACCTTTAATGCAGCAAACATAAAAAGTCTTCACAAAAAGTAGTATGCAATTGTACCTATATTACATACAATATTTTTCTTGTTTTAAAATTTAATGGACTTATCCTGCATTTATTTTTGGAACTGACTATTATCAATTCTGGGGATCTCAAAATGAAAACTTTACATAAGTAAACTGAGAAAATAGAGCCTGGTAGTAAGACTACACAGATGTGCTGGCTGGCCTGGCTCTATACTGGTGGCAAAGGGCAATAACTTTTGGTTCTAGCAGAATAAAAGTTAAAGAAGTTAGATGTTACCTCATGATAAGGTTATAGTCCACCTCTGGATTAGATATTCCTGGAGCAAGTGGTTTAAGATATTTTGAAAGATTGTCACACAAATTGAGAATAAGCCGACCACATTCTCTTCCGTTGCTATGGAGATTTAAGATAGAAATACACAGTGATGTACTTGGTGCCTGAAATAGGAAATGTTAAAATATCTTAATGAAGTTTAAATTATATATAAAAAAAGCTTTTCATTTAATTTCATAATTATAGTATTTTTTTTTTATAAAATCCAATTAAATCTCAATAAAGAACACAAAATAAAAATTAGAATTGTGTTGTATAAAGTATTATTACATATAGGATCATGTATATGATCACTGCAAATGCAAAATAAACAAAAGAAAACATACCAATCCAATATTTATACCTATAATTAAATTAGCTATAAAATAATAAATGCTCTACCCAATTTTAATGACTTATTGTGGCACAAAATTTCAACATTTTTTGGATGTCATTAATATACCTGATGTAAATGATGTCACTTCCTTATTTAATTTTAAAGAAAACATGTAAGAATTGAAGCCTATTTATATAGAGTTTTTAGAAATTAATTTTCGAGCAAACAAAGTGAAACAAGAAAATTAGTTCCTTAAAATTCTGTATAAATATAACTTATAACAGACTTGCAGTTTAAGCCCTGCACACTCAAATCAAGTGCATTATGTAAATAGGTGGAGTCCATTAAATCGGCTCATATAACATATAAATTTAATACATACAGTTGAGTTACAGCACAGTATGGTAAATATTTCGGCAAAATTTAAACAAAATAGAGTGATTTCATTGGCAGACAAACTTTGGCGAACTGTAAATGATTAGCCAGCTCCTTTAAAAAGAAAGGTAAAATCCCTTGAAATGTCAGAGGAAGTATTTTGTGTATGATACACAGGTTATATACATGTATATTGAAATCAGGTTCAGCAAAGTCCTCAGAACAAATAAATGTGTGAATGAAAATTTTATATATATACAAAGAACAAAAAAGGATATGGGAAATTAATGAAAGATCTCTATAAAATCTATAAAATATTTTTCAGGTAATTCCAAACAACGTGTATTTCAATTCAAAATTGTTGATTTAACAAATTACACCAATAGAAACAATAATAATGAAAGACTGTGGAATACTCAGACAATAAGGAATTATATATTTCACTGAGACAAAGAAATTTAAGGTGAATTCATAACTATGATTTTTCCAGGAAAAGCATCTTCAAAACCTAAAGAAGTTTAAGATTTTTTTTTTTTGGTTACAATAAACACTACAGACTCAGAAAGTAGAACAAGTATGCTAGGACAGCAATAAAGAATTTTTATATTATAACAAACCATAGCACATCTATGATGTGTCATATCACCGCCCCTCATTTTATGCTGCCATCTTGTAAGGGCCAGAAATGGCCTCTATATTATATAAATCAAAATACAGTCAAACCTTTCATATGTATTGTTACTCTATGGTTTAAAAATATATTTATATTCATGAACTGATGAAATATATGCATATAAAATTTTACCTTGATTTTCAACTATTTCTTTAATATTGAGAAAACCTTGTAAATTACAATTTTTACAGTTTCTCAAGTACTAATATCTTATATTTAGATTATATATTAGTCATATAAATCATTAAAAGATCCAATATTGAGATCAAAGACTGTTAACTTAGCACTAGAAATTTTATATGTTTGTTAAATTTTAAGTCACACCAACAGTGCAAAGGACACGCTTGACTGGTTAAGGAGACATAAGGTGCCCCTCCATTATATCAGGCACAAGCTGGAACCCTAGTAGAACCACCAATCTTCCTTAAGCTAGCCAGATAGCTTCCTCACATGAAAAAATCCAAAGTTCTAAGGGGATTCGAACCCACAGCAGTGACGGGCAAGTGATTTGAAGTTTGATACCTAAACCACTCGGCCACAGAGGCAACTAGAAATTTTAAATATCACTGTCTAAATGTTGATAATATGTTAAGCTAAGCAAACTGAAAATAAACTGTAAGAAAAATATAAGTTTATGACCACATAGCTGATAAACATATTTTCCTTTTTTTAAACTGAAAGTAGGATGTCCCACTTCTTATGAATGAGTGTGGCATCTCCTAATTCTACAGAACAATCTTAATCACAGATTTCCCTTCTGACACAAGGGTATGTACACAATAAAAGTAGGGCAAATAGACCACTCTGATCTCTGTCAGTAATGACCCACACTTTTCAAATCATTATAATATTTCAATTCATTTTATATTATGATATACATGTATATTCAAATAGGTGAACTTAGTAAGCCAACCTTTGAATGTATCTAAATTAAAACTTTGTTGGTACAATTTGTTGCAATGTAAAAACATGTACATTATGTAATAAAATAATTTATACTAATAAGCAACTAAAGTTAAGAGAATAACAATGAAATAGCCATGATTGACAATTTATCACTTACATGAGAAAGAAGATTATTACTACTTTCATCTCATGCTTGGGAAAATGAGAACATGATAATCTTTATAAAGATGAAAAATAAACCTAAAGCCAACCACTGTGACCTCAAATCCCTAAGTTATAAGTCCACAAATGAAGAAAGGACTGAAAGACAAACTGACTACTCTGCTCCATTTAAAATTTCTGGGGCATAAAAATAATCTTTATATTTATATTGATAGTACCTGTTCAAAGTAAAAGTCTTCTCTAAGATTTGAATTGTAATCATCATCTAACTGTAGTTTCCAAGCTGTATGGGAGTGACTTATAGCCTCGGACAGTGTCTGTGCCGTGGTAACTTCTTGTATATAGCTGAGACCACCAGGGTATGATGGTTTAGGTGATCTCGTCATGCTTGAGTCAGATATACGATATTGTTCATATATCTCTGCCGCTGATGTACGTCTCTCCACCTCGCTGAAAATATATATCATTACAACTTTTCAATTGAGAATTAAAACCAAAGTCCTGCACATTGGTGTTTAACATCACTGCATGTTAAAACAATGGTCAGCTCCAAAATATAAAATGACTCTTATAGAGAAAGTCCCACTTTCCTGTGGTGTCCAAATCTCAAACAATTCTGTGTTTAGTACATGTATTAAACAATCAATGATATAACATAAATATAAAAAAAAGTTTTGACATACTTGCAGATCGATACAATATCAAGAATGCAGAACCAATATTTCACATTGATGATATTTTCATATGACTTTCGTTTGTTATTGATTCTTTTACACAATTATACTAAAATTCTTAAATCAGATCAAAAGTAGATTGCAAGTAGCGGTCTTTATACAACATTGGAGCAGTCTTATTTTCAGTGTTTATCAAGATAAAATAATAAACTGACTTTCTTTTATAATAAATTCATACATTGGTATCATAATGAATCGATAGCTAGATTCTAGAGAGGTGCAGCTAATCACAAAATTATATACCTAGATTTAACAATTTGTTTGTAGCAATCATCACAAGTTCGAGAATTTATTCCTTTGATAGGTGTTACTTTTGAAGAGCAACTAGCACATGCAACTCGTCCACATCGTCTACAGTGATGACGTCTGTTAAACTGTATAAAAAAATACATACAATTCACTATATTTGTACATATGAGGACAATTCAAAAAGTAGTGGCAACATAGAGGTGAAATGTCAATACCTTACTCAATTTCCATGAAATTAATTTATGAGACCTTCAATATATCCTTATCCAGTCTGTACAATTTTCATGTTGAAAAAATCTATTTTGGAAGTGCTCATTATGCCTCAGAAACAAATATTCATTTCTTTCTTTACAAATGGCAAACATAAAGTATTACAATGTTAAAACAATGGTTTTACAGCATGTAAGATGCTTATAACCTGAAAGAGTAGCGCTGAATGTGAAATTATTTGTCATAAAAGTAGCAAAATGTTTCCATACAAAATACTAAATCTCAATTACTATACTAATTTTAAACAAGATTGCATTTGAGAAAAATGCTATGCCACTGCATGGTTCAAATTTCATAGCTGTACACCAAAGGACAAGAAAGTAGGTCACATCATCAAAATCTAGGTCACCTGATATCAAAGTTCAATTTTACAACTAAAATTGTGCACATGGTCAAAATGTCATTGCTGTACATCAAAGGACAAGAAAGTAGGTCACTGTCCCCTTGGGCAAGGATATAATTTTGACCCAAGGGTTTAATTCAAAACAATTTTATGATACAGGTCCACCAAACAACATTTCAAGTCAAATATCTAAGCTATAGCTTTCTCCCATTCAGAAAACATTTGTTTTATTTTCTGTTTTTACTATGTGTACATAATGAGAATCACTGCCCCCGGGCAGGGCCAATTTTGACACCAGGGGAAAATTTTGAACAACTTTGGTAGACGACCTATAAATGATATTATATATCAAACATCAAAGCTCTATGCCTTGTACCTTCAGACAAAAATATTTTTTATTTTTTTCACTATATGTACATAATGAAAATCAATGACCCCCGGGGCGGAACCAATTTTGACCCAGGGCTATAATTTGAACAATCTTGCCAGAGGTTCACTACACAATGTTTCATGCAAAATATCTTAACTCTAGCCTTTGTAAATTTAGAGAAGATGATTTTTTAAGTTTGTACTATATACATATAAGGAAAACTATGGCCACCAGGGGGCGGGGCTAATTTTGACACAAGAGGCAAAACTTTGAATAACTTTTGTAGAGTACCTTCAGATGATATAATTTAACAAATATTAAAGCTCTAAGCCTTGCACCTTCAGACAATAAGATTTATTTATTTTTTACTATATGTATATATTGAAATCAATGACCCCAAGGGCGGGGGCAATTTTGACCCCAGGGCTATAATTTGAACAATCTTGCTAGAGGTTTACTACACAATGTTTCATGCAAAATATCTAACCTCTAGCATTTGTCAATTGCTAGAAGAATTTTTTTTGAAGTTTTTACTATAATTTTTTACTATATACATATAAGGAAAACAAATGACCCCCGGGGCGGGGCCAATTTTGACCCCAGGGCTATAATTTGAACAATCTGGTAGAGGTCAAACCAGACAATGCCTTATGCAAAATATATAAGCTCTAGGCCTTTTGGGTCTTTACAAGAAGGTGTTTTAAGTTTTTACTATATGTACATATAGTGAAAATCAATGACCCGGGGCGGGGCGATTTTGACCCAAGGGCTATAATTTGAACAATCATGGTAAGGGTCTACCAGAAGATGCCTTATGCAAAATATCTAAGCTCTAGGCCTTTTGGGTTTTTACAAGAAGGTATTTTAAGTTTTTACTATATGTACATAGTGAAAATCAATGACCCTCGGGGCGGGGCCAATTTTGACCCCAGGGCTATAATTTGAACAATCTTGTTAGAGGTCTACCAGACAATGCCTTATGCAAAATATCTAAGCTCTAGGCCTTTTGGGTCTTTACAAGAAGATTTTTTAAATTTATTCTTATAATTCCTTTTGGTTGCCATGGCAACCAGATTTCTGCATGGAATGAAATTCTTTGAACAACTTTGGAAGCCCTTCACCCAAGGAACAATCCTGCCAAGTTTGGTTGAAATTGGACTAGTGGTTTTTCACAAGAAGATTTTTTAAGTTCACTATATAATCTATATAACACACACACAAACACACACACAAACACACACACACACAGGTGAATCGCTATATGCCACCGCATCGCAGATGCTGCGGTGGCATAAAAAGTATTTAGATGGTGGGGCTTTCCTACACAATGTTTCATGCAAAATATCTAACCTCTAGCATTTGTCAATTGCTAGAAGAATTTTTTTTGAAGTTTTTACTATAATTTTTTACTATATACATATAAGGAAAACAAATGACCCCCGGGGCGGGGCCAATTTTGACCCCAGGGCTATAATTTGAACAATCTGGGTAGAGGTCTACCAGACAATGCCTTATGCAAAATATATAAGCTCTAGGCCTTTTGGGTCTTTACAAGAAGGTGTTTTAAGTTTTTTACTATATGTACATATAGTGAAAATCAATGACCCGGGGCGGGGCCGATTTTGACCCAAGGGCTATAATTTGAACAATCATGGTAAGGGTCTACAGAAGATGCCTTATGCAAAAATATCTAAGCTCTAGGCCTTTTGGGTTTTTACAAGAAGGTATTTTAAGTTTTTACTATATGTACATAGTGAAATCAATGACCCTCGGGCGGGGCCAATTTTGACCCAGGGCTATAATTTGAACAATCTTGTTAGAGGTCTACCAGACAATGCCTTATGCAAAATATCTAAGCTCTAGGCCTTTTGGGTCTTTACAAGAAGATTTTTTAAATTTATTCTTATAATTCCTTTTGGTTGCCATGGCAACCAGATTTCTGCATGGAATGAAATTCTTTGAACAACTTTGGAAGCCCTTCACCCAAGGAACAATCCTGCCAAGTTTGGTTGAAATTGGACTAGTGGTTTTTCACAAGAAGATTTTTTAAGTTCACTATATAATCTATATAACACACACACAAACACACACACAAACACACACACACACACAGGTGAATCGCTATATGCCAAAAAAAGCAACAAAAGCAAAATATGACTCAGGTAATTGGCCAATGAGTTATGTTTTTGGAAATCACAATAGGCCACAAAATATAAAAAGCTTTTGAGAAATAAAAATTAAAGCATTCCTGGAATGTATTGGGCCTCTAATATTATTTGATATATATTTTGTTTTGCATCAATGTTCATGCAAAACTGTCTAACAGTACTTTGCTGGTTGAGAAAACACCATGGTCCAACAGTACTTGGCTGGTTAAGGAAAAACCAAGGTCCAACAGTACTTTGCTGGTTAAGAAAACACCTAGTGGGTCCAAGAGTATTTTGCTGGTTGAGAAAACACCAAGGTCAAACAGTACTTTGCTGGTTGAGAAAACACGTTCTTTGCTGGTTAGAAAACACCTAGTGGGTCCAACAGTACTTTGCTGGGTGAGTAAACACCTAGTGCACCCAACAGTACTTTGCTGGTTGAGAAAACACCAAGGTCCAACAGTACTTTGCTGGTTGAGTAAACACCAAGGTCTAACAGTACTTTGCTGGTTGGGAAAACACCAAGGTCAAATAGTACTTTGCTGGTTGAGAAAACATGTTCTTTGCTGGTTAGAAAACACCTAGTGGGTCCAAGTGTACTTTGCTGGTTGAGAAAACACCAAGGTCCAACAGTACTTTGCTGGTTGAGTAAACATCTAGGTCTAACAGTACTTTGCTAGTTGAGAAAACACATTTTTGCTGGTTAAGAAAATACCTTGTGGGCCCAACAGTACTATTCTGGTTGGGAAAACACCTAGTGGGTACAACAGTACTTTGCTGGTTGAGAAAACACCTAGTTGGTCCAACAGTACTTTGTTGGTTGAGTAAACACCTAGTGGGCCCAACAGTACTTTGCTGGTTGAGTAAACACCAAGGTCCAACAGTCCTTTGCTGGTTGAGTAAACATCTAGGTCTAACAGTACTTTGCTGGTTGGGAAAACACCTATTGGGTACAACAGTACTTTGCTGGTTGAAAAAACACCAAGGTCTAACAGTACTTTGCTGGTTGACTAAACATCTAGGTCTAACAGTACTTTGCTGGTTGAGAAACACATTCTTTGCTGGTTGACAAAATACCTAGGTTCAAAAGTACTATGCTGGTTGAGAAAACACCTTGGCCCAGCATACATTTATACTGGTAATATGTACGAGTTACTTTATTGTGCAAAACTTGTGCAAATAATTTTAAAATTACAAGACTGATACCACTTTTATCCAAATGGCCTGTACAGTTGCAAAATGTTCAAAAAACAATATAGAATTAGAAGACTGAAAATAGTGGTAAAGAACAAAGAGTAAAAATTTACTAAAACAGAACCTTTACCAGTTTTAATAACCAAATTTATCTTAATAACAGGAAGAAAACATGAGGATAAAGTAATGGCTAAATTTATAGCTACTGCAAACACATTAAAGGAGCTCCACTGAAGTCAAAAAGCCTAAAAACATAAAATTAGAAAATATGACAAAGATCAATTAAAGTACTTAAAATGGAGAAGTCTGCAAAGGGTTATAAACAAGAGCTGTCCGTAAGACAGCGCGCTCGACTTTTTTAGTGCTTGCCTATAATACAAAACATTGACAGTTAAGGGCCATAATTCAAATAAAATCTTTGACAGAATTACCTTCTCCTGGACATGTTTGGGAATCATGATTGTAAACAAGTATTCCAACTTTCAAATTAATATCTCAAACAGTTCAGTCAAAAAGTGGACTGGTACTAAAAACTTAACCAAGATTCTAAGTCGATAAAAGGCCTTAATTTTTAAAACAAATCCTTGACAGAGTTACCTTCTCTTGCGTACAGATGGGGGGTAATGATGTGAAATAGCATTAAAAGTTTCAAAGCAATATCTCAAAGGGTTAAGGCAATAAGTGGATTTTACCCATATTCAATGTATTTTCTAAGTCAAAAAGGGGCATAATTCTGTCAAAAACCTTGACAGAGTTATGTCCTCTTGTCTGTTGATGAAGGTCGTGATGGTAAACAAGTATGGTCAGTTTCAAAGCAATACCTCCAATGGTTTTGAAATAAAGTGAGGTGGTACAAAAAACTTAACCAAGCTCAATACACTTTCTAAGTCAAAAAGGGGCCATAATTCTGTCAAAAACCTTGACAGAGTTATGTACTCTTGTCTGTAGATGGAGGTTATGATGGTGAACAAGTATGGTAAGTTTCAAAGCCATACTTGTAATACTTCTGAAATAAAGTGGGGTGGTACGAAAAACTTAACCAAGGTGTGACGCCAACGCTAACGCTAACGCCGACGCCGACGCCGGGGCGAGTAGGATAGCTCCCCTTTTCATAGAAAAGTCGAGCTAAAAATTAAGTTGAATATCGTTTTTTTTGTGCTTTTCTTAGCCCTTTTTGAGTGAAAAGCATTTTTAGGTCATTTTGGACAATAAAATGATTAAACTGGAAAAAGGGGTGAGGGAATGATATCAAAATTTGCACACTTGTTATTGGTCCAGACTTACATTGAATTTGGAACACAAATCTCAGAAAAAAAAATTCCAGTCCTGTAACGTTAAAAAATCTCAGTTGAGTCTGTTTAAGCCTTTGCATAAATCTATTTTATATCTATGATTAACAAAATCCAGTCACATTCTTCCTTTTCTTTTATAACCAATTTTAAAATATATCTTACCATGCTAAATTTCTCAGTTTTACACACCATACAGACAGATGTAGATGAGTCAGGTACCCACTGGTCCCTCGGTGGAGGTTCTGAGGGCATCACAAAGTTTATTTCCTTGGTATCTCTACCTGCATAGTCACTTGTATGAGGAGCACTGGCAGCTAACCTTGATCCTGTAAATATTGAAATGTGATTTGCAATGCCATATTGAGAGATTTGCAATACCCTATTGAGATGAGATTTGCAATGCCCTATTGAGATGAGATTTGCAATGCCCTATTGAGATGAGAGTTGCAATGCTCTATTGAGATGAGATTTACAATGCCCTATTGAGATGAGAGTTGCAATGCTCTATTGAGATGAGATTTACAATGCCCTATTGATAATAGAGTTGCAATGCCCTATTGAGATGAGAGTTGCAATGCCCTATTGAGATGAGAGTTGCAATGCCCTATTGAGATGAGATTTACAATGCCCTATTGAGATGAGATTTACAATGCCCTATTGAGATGAGATTTACAATGCCCTATTGAGATGAGAGTTGCAATGCCCTATTGAGATGAGATTTGCAATGCCCTATTGAGATGAGAGTTGCAATGCCCTATTGAGATGAGATTAACAATGCCCTATTGAGATGAGATTTGCAATGCCCTATTGAGATGAGATTTGCAATACCCTATTGAGATGAGAGTTGCAATGCCCTATTGAGATGAGATTTGCAATATCCTATTGAGATGAGAGTTGCAATGCCCTATTGAGATGAGATTAACAATGTGCTATTGAGATGAGATTTGCAATGCCCTATTGAGATGAGATTTGCAATGCCCTATTGAGATGAGATTTGCAATACCCTATTGAGATGAGATTTGCAATGCCCTATTGAGATGAGATTAACAATGCCCTATTGAGATGAGATTTGCAATACCCTATTGAGATGAGATTAACAATGCCCTATTGAGATGAGATTAACAATGCCCTATTGAGATGAGATTTGCAATGCCCTATTGAGATGAGATTTGCAATACCCTATTGAGATGAGAGTTGCAATGCCCTATTGAGATGAGATTTGCAATACCCTATTGAGATGAGAGTTGCAATGCCATATTGAGATGAGATTAACAATGCGCTATTGAGATGAGATTTGCAATACCCTATTGAGATGAGATTTACAATGCCCTATTGAGAAGAGATTTGCAATGCCCTTTAAACTTTGTGAACAAAAACAAATACATTATGTAAGTAGTTTTGTGCATAAAACATTGATTTACTTGTTTACATCATATGATGAACTTCAGGGCTATCAAAGGGAGTCTGTGATGTTCACATTACCAGTTAAATACTTTAAAATAAATAACCATAACTTGTTGGTTTGTGCCTTGTGTTAATTTGTAGTCTTTTAAGTCTGAAAAGTATCCAAATGGCCAATGGTTCTTATAATGTAATCGGGTATTTCATTAAGTTTAATTCAATACAATCGTAAATGTAACATGAAAAAGTCACAGATTTTATCAAAAGCAGTTGTTTGTTTGTCTGTTTTTTAAAATAAATTTCTATCCAAAACATACTAAAGATAGTTAACTTATTTTCACTGACTTATGAAACATTGTAAGCAACTAGGTAAAATTATTGCAATTAGCACTTTTTATAATTGATGAATTATTTTCTTATAATGACATTTATTTTTGAGTAAGTTCACATCAAGATCATCTCTTGTAATTCACTTCATATAAACCCATTGTTACCTTGTAGATCAACAACGCTTCTACGTTTTAGATGTTGAAGGTCCTGTTTAGGTTGTGGGCTTTGTCTAAACTGTGGACTATTTCTAGCATCAATGTCAAGTTTATCAGAAGATGTTGATCGCACTGAAAATGTTCTTTCTTTATCTGAAATATATAACAATAAAGTGTTAATTACGGTTCTAATGCTTATCTGAAAACTCTGACCTAACACAAAAAATTCCCTCCTAGCAGTCATTTAATTGCAATCAAAGCACTAAAATCACTCATTATGAATATAACATTATTGCTTTTATGTAGCAATAATACTAGATAGTTCTTAATTTCAATGTTATCTTTCTTAATTTAAATGATTCACTTTAATAATGTATATGTAAATGGATATTTCATTTTTGTTTTTGTTATATTCTGATTGGTCACATGTATATGTGTTTTTTACCAATACTAAATATAGCATAATTCTAAATAATTAATTCTTATCTACTTTGCATGTTGTTATTTCATTTAACTATGCAAATAAAACATGTTTTTTTCATTTAATCTACTTTACCCATTTAAACAATCAAATGAAAGATTGAAAATGTAACTTACATTAAGACTTTTATACCTTTGTTAACTTGAAATTCATCAAATGTCAGATGTCTATATAAATAAAATTCCTTTGTTTTACAACTTAATTATGAAACATATATGAACAAATTAAAGGATTTACATTGATTTTATCAGAATAAAGTAACTTAACATATACCTTCAAGAACCTGTATCACAGTAAACTCTAGAGCTTTTACAGCATAAAGTGCCACCAACGTGTTGAATTGTTCTGGGCTGAATTTGCTTCCTGGATCTCTAATTAAGGTAAACTCATCCTTTACAACATGAAAGGCCTTGTTGGCTAGCTCTGGCTGTAAAATAGTGCTTACTTTATAATCATAATACATGAGGAAAGATATTATTTAAATCATTACTTTATTTTTTTTGGATGGTTTTAAGTCTCACCCACAATGATCTGTTATATGTAAATCATTCAGCTTTAATGGTGGGGTAAGACCTCAGGTGTCCCATCTTTAATTATTTGAGTCCCAAGCTGGCATCTGTGAAGAACCATCAACCTCCAATAAGCTAGTATGTGGATATCTTTCACACACAAAAGAATCAAGTCACTTGTGGGATTCGAACTCACAACAATGAATGGCAAAACCATTCAGGCCCTTTGATTATATATAATTAAACAATGCTCATTTGGGGCAGCACAGATGGTAATGAAATAACAAGGTAATCATGATTTCAAGCAAATCAAAAATGTATATTTCTACATTATCACCAACAGCCTTTGTGACCCCCATTATTTGAGTAAATACCAATATGGTGGCTTGCAAATATGCTAATTAACCCTTACTCTGCTGAAAATCTTAAATGGACTTGTCCATCTTCCAATCTGGACTAGACCATTTATCATTTTTAGGGAAAATGTCACATTAACTACTCATTGAATAGAAACGGTGCAGAACTTGATGAGATGGCACAAAACTCTGCTGATCTTGGTATGCACTGGTCACATAGTTATACTAAGTTGCCTCCAGCAGGCTAAAGGTAGAAGGTCTGTTGTCTAAATCATTCTTTTGAAATTGAATGATAAAAGGAAAATTTACCTTCATGTTCATAAGAAGCTGTTCTAGGATGTATCTAGGTGTCGTAACTAGGTGACAATATTCTACATGCATTGACTCCGGTAAACAAAGGATCATCTGTAATATATTATCAATAAAATTAATAACAGAATTATGAGGACTTGTATGTTGCTGTTTAAACTCACACTGTTGTAAAGCTCCCTAAACTTATACAATGGAAGTACTTGATTAAATAAACTATGAGATAATCAAATTCACCAAACTTACATTGTAGGTTATATTGTTTCAAAACTTGCTGCATTACATATGAAAATATGGTCTGACATATGTTCTATCTCATTTGATTTAAATACATGTACTTACAGTAAACATCATACAAACACTTGCACATCATTTAAACAATGTTGCACTAGACTGTCAGACAGGTAATATACATTGGTGTTATCTATTTTTAAATCTTTATTAAAGTTTTTGGCAAAAATATTGAATGTAAGTTATTGTTTTTGGCACATCTTGTGTTAAAAAAATCACTTTGAGCATGTATCACAGAATAAATTATATGAACGTGTTTGTTTTACTATAAGATAACAGATACAAGTTGGTTTACTAAATGTTTATATAGGAAATATTTTGAATTAAGTCAAGTAAAAAAACTTCTCAAAACTTTGCACTCTATTTCCATATTCTCATCTTACCATGTCAAATAAACATGAAAATCAAGCTCTTGGATACTAAGATCACTTACCCTGGCACCAATATGAGTCAGTCTGATACAATCAAGCTCCTGCCTACCAAGATCTTTTTCCATCTGAGTTAGCATGTAACTTGCTATAAATAGAACATCTTGCTGGTTGTTGAAGATTTGAAGAAACTTTTTGCACATTATCAAACAAGTATCCTTATCTCTCGTTCGTAGATCTTCTAAAAGCTTAAAAAAACAAAAGGAATTCATGGAAATTTCTATTTTTTAGCTGCACACCATAAAAGTCCAAATTTGATACTGAACCATCAAAAGAAGATCTTTGGATGGTTCAATATCATAATTGGACTTTTATGGTGATAAGCTTCTTCTGGCAATGAGCAAGCTCAATCAAACAGGGCCTATAAAACTAAATAATTGTTGGTGTTTGAGCAGTAACACTTTTCTACTCTAACCAACTCTGTACCCGAACCTATTTATTAATGGGTTATGAATACAATTTACCAATATCAGTAAAGATCTGTCTATTTGTTTATGAAAACAATTTCAAAAAGTTTTCTGGCTTTCCTGTTGCAATAATGTCAACAAATTTTAAATGATTAAATTTCAAACTAGAACTGCCACTATCATGGCGTGAATACCCCCGCATACCACTTTGTCGGAATCAACAGTGGCCATTTAGAGCTCAAGGACAACCTGCCTGCCAAATCTGAGGTTACTAAGCCAGTGCATTGCTAAGTTATGTATTCTACATGATTCAAATGTGAAAATGTCAAAAACAATACACTGCGGACAGGCATTCTTTAGCAATTGAGAAGAAAAGCTTTTTTTTGTCAAGGTCCCTGTGACCTTGACCTTTGATCCAGTGACCTCAAAATCAAAAGGGGTCATCTACTAATTATGACTAACCTCCATTCCAAATATGAAGACTGTGGGTCAAAGGATTCTAAAGTTATTGGGCGGACAAGCTTTTTGAAGTCAAGGCCCCTGTGACCTTGACCTTGACCTTTGACCTGGTGACCTCAAAATCAATAGGGGTCATCTACTAATCATGACTAACCTCCATGCCAAATATGAAGACTGTGGGTCATAGGATTTTTAACTATTGGGCGAACAAGCTTTTTGAAGTCAAGGCCCTGTGACCTTGACCTTTGACCTCAAAATCAATAGGGGTCATCTACTAACCGTGACTAACCTCCATGCCAAATATGAAGACTGTGGGTCAAAGGAATCTTAAGTTATTGGGCAGACAAGCTTTTTGAAGTCAAGGCCCCTGTGACCTTGACCTTTGACCTGGTGACCTCAAAATCAATAGGGGTCATCTACTTATCATGACTAACCTCCATGCCAAATATGAAGACTGTAGGTCAAAGGAATCTTAAGTTATTGGGCGGACAAGCTTTTTGAAGTCAAGGCCCCTGTGACCTTGACCTTTGACCTGGTGACCTCAAAATCAATAGGGGTCATCTACTAATCATGACTAACCTCCATGCCAAATATGAAGACTAAAGGTCAAAGGAATCTTAAGTTATTGGACGGACAAGCTTTTTGAAGTCAAGGCCCCTGTGACCTTGACCTTTGACCTGGCAACCTCAAAATCAATAGGGGTCATCTACTAATCATGACTAACCTCCATGCCAAATATGAAGACTAAAGGTCAAAGGAATCTTAAGTTATTGGGCGGACAAGAAACAAGAGCTGTCACAGGAGACAGCGAAGCTCGACTAATAAAATACTGGACGCAGTAAGGAGGACAAAACTATGAAAGAAAAATCAATATTAACATTTGTTAACATTAATTCCAAGATCAAGGGGAATAATTCTAGAAATAGTCATGCTAGAGTTATGGACCTTGCCACACAACATTTGTGTAATGATAAGAAATATATATTTGAAGTTTGAAGTAGATAGATTAAAAAATAAAGAAGTTATTATATTTCTTAAAGAAAATCCTAAGTTCAAAGAGAGATAAATCTGTAAATATTGCTTCAAGAGTTATGAACATTGTCACATAAAATGTAATTGATGATAAGGAATAAGTATTTGAAGTTTGAGGTAGATACCTTTAAAAATAAAAAAGTTAAAATAAAAAAAAAAACATTTTTCTAGTAAATAAATCTAAGTTTATGAGGAGATAATTCTTGCAATATTGGTGCTAGAGTTATGAACCTTGTCACATAAGATGTGGATGATGATAACGTAAATATATTTGAAGTATGAAGTTGATCCCTTTAGAAATAAATAAGTTACAGTAAAAAATAATATTTTGTATGGAAAATTCTAAGTTCAAAGGGAGATAAATCTGAAAATATTGGTGCTAGAGTTATGAACCTTGTCACATTAGATGGGGATGATGATAACGTAAATATATTTGAAGTATGAGGTTGATCCCTTAAGAAATAAAGAAGAAACAGTAAAAAATAGTATTTTTTGAGGAAAATTCTAAGTTCAAGGGGAGATAAATCTGAAAATATTGGTTCTAGAGTTATGAACCTTGTCACATAAGATGGGGATGATGATAAGGTACATATATCTGAAGTATGAGGTTGATCCCTTCAGAAATAAAGAAGAAACAGTAAGAAATAGTATTTTTTGAGGAAAATTCTAAGTTCAAGGGGAGATAAATCTGAAAATATTGGTGCTACAGTTATGAACCTTGTCACATAAGATGGGGATGATGATAAGGTACATATATTTGAAGTATGAGGTTGATCCCTTAAGAAATAAAGAAGTATCGGTAAAAAATAGTATTTTTTAAGGAAAATTCTAAGTTCAAGGGGAGATAAATCTGAAAATATTGGTGCTAGAGTTATGCCACTTGTCACATAAGATGTGGTTGATGATAAGGAACATATATTTGAAGTTTGAAGTTGATACCTTAAGAAATGACAAAGTTATAGTGAAAAATTTTTTACTGCACCAAAACTTTAATCTAAAATCTGGACGCGGACGCCGGGGCGAGTAGGACAGCTCTCCATATACTTCGTATAGTCGAGCTAAAAACCGACGGACGGACGGACGGCCGGACAGCCGGACGGACAACCTGATTCCAGTATACCCCCTTACAACTTTGTTGTGCGGGGGTATAATAATGACTATATTAAATGTGTGTTAAAACTTAAAAACCATTTCTGAATAAAGATAACCCTGTATATAAAGACCATTTTTGATAACCTTTTATTGATAACATGGAAAGAAATAACCTTATATAGTTCTAAAATACCTGTGTTTAATTAATTTAAAACAATTTTTTAAAACATACCATGAAAGCCTTTGTTGTGTTTGGTGGCTGCATATTTAACAAGGAGCTGACATGGTTCTCTTCTATTTCCTGAATAAGAAAAAACAATATTGTTGTATTCTATTAATAAATTCAAATTTTTCTTTTTAGAAAATTTACAATTTTAAGTGCTGCCTGAAAGTTAAACATTAAGGGTACTGTATCATAATGATGGTTTTTTTAAAAAAAGATTTAGATAAGAATTCTATACAGTTACCATATTCTAACAATCACTCTTAACCAACTCAAATGATACATACAGTAATGTATCAATATGCAAGTAGGCAATTTACACATTTCTAAAAGTTTAGAACTATATCTAACTATATGAATGTGTTTAACAATATTGTTGAACATACCAATTTTATATCGTTATCAAGTTTTTCCAGAGTAAACCAGGATTTTGCAGTTTCAAAGTCACCTGATTTGATCAGAAGTCCTAACACCTCCCGTGGGGATGTTTCTGTCATCTGTACAACAGTGTGCCAATATGTGAACCTGAATATGATGTACATATGTGGTTTTAATGAGACCTTAGACATAAAACAATATCTGTCTAATTGTCTAATAATTCTAATGGTGTTTATACATGTACTGAGTGATGAAAGCTTTCAATTAGCTTTTATATGTTTCTGAGAGGGTTCTATTTGGTCTGTTTCTTAAATTTGCAGAATTATTATCTCCAAACTTTATGCCTTATGTTTCAATTCATTAATAGAGGTCTCAATGGGTGTAAAATGCTCACTGTAGTATGACTCAGAATTCGATGTACTGGTAAAGTACAATATTGTTTACTTGTCTAAAATAAGATGAACTGTTAAAGTATATATTGTTTACTTGTCTAAAATAAGATGTACTGGTAAAGTATATATTGTTTACTTGTCTAAAATAAGATGAATTGGTAAAGTATATATTATTTACTTGTCTAAAATAAGATGTACTGGTAAAGTATATATTGTTTACTTGTCTAAAATAAGATGAATTGGTAAAGTATATATTGTTTACTTGTCTAGAATGAGATGTTTCTTTCTAGCAATCAATTTATCCTCCTCTGATATCAACTCAGAACTCTGTAGAGATAGTTTAAATTGTAGGCTTTTGGCACATTCTGTTATCTGAAAATGAAACAAAAAGTATTATACATGTATTCTAATATGCTTATTCTTTGGTACTATATTTCATAAAAATATGCAAATAATTTATTTCTATTGTTTTTATCAATATTTGAAAAACATATAAAACAAGAACGTGTTTGTTAAACACAAATGCCCCCGGCTCCGATTCTTGTCAGTAGCAATATTTCAAAAAATGTTTACCCATTCACTCAGTTATGGACAGAAACATTGCCAAAAAATTGTCAACACAAGTTATATAGCTTTACAGAGTCATGGCATTTTGTAATTGTGAAATATATAAGTTGCCAAGTCATTGCTATGACTTGTGAAGTGATAAATATTCAACTTTATCAAATATATATAAATGTAAGAAATCTATACTTGGCACCCTTGACCTTGACCCAATGACACCTATAGAATATCATGCAAGTTATCTTCCTACCAAATATGAAATACACCTGTCAATAAATAAAGGCTGTATGGGCAAAAATGTTAAAATCTATTTTGAGCATTGATGACCTTGACCAAACTGACCCCTAACTCCATCCAAAGGAAGAATACCATGCAAGTTATCTTCCAACCAAATATGAAATATATCTGTCAATAAATAAAGGCTGTATGGGCAAAAGTGTAAAAATCTATTTTTAGCACTAGTGGCCTTGACACACTGATCCCTAACTCAATTAAAAGGAAGAATACCATGCAAGTTATCTTACTATCAAATATGAAATACACCTGTCAATAAATAAAGCCTGTATGGGCAAAAGTGTAAAAATCTATTTTTAGCACAAGTGACCTTGACCCACTGATCCCTACCCCAATCAAAAGGATGAATACCATGCAAGTTATCTTCCTACCATATATGAAATATATCTGTCAATAAATAAAGGCTGTATAGGCAAAAGTGTAAAAATCTATTTTTAGCACTGCAGGTGACCTTGACCCAACTGACCACTAACTTCATCAAATTTTATGTTCCTATCAATTATAAATGACATCTGTCTATAGAATATGGTTAATACACCTGTAAAAATGTAAAAATCTATTTTTAACATTGGTAACCTTGACATTGGTGACATTGACCTTGACTCAAATGACCACATACTATACCCAAAGAAGGAGGACCTCCCTTGGCATGTTTGTATTAAACATGAAAAACATCAACCAAAAAATAAAGGCTGTATGAGCAAAAATGTTTAAAATTTATTTTCTAAACCAGTGACCTTGACTTTGACCCTAGAGACCACTTACTCCACAAAGGTTAGAGGACCATAAAAGGTATCCACCTACCAAATATGCAAGATATCATTAAATAAATTAAGCAATTAAGAGAAATTTACGATAAATCCAACTTGCCGGAATAGGTTAACCAGACAAGGCCCTATTTTCAAAGTGAAAAAAAGGGAAATAACTGGAAATATGGATGACACAGTTATATAACTTGGCAATATCGTGTACTTTGTATTGATTAGTAAGTGTGGAAATTATAAAGCCATTATAGATAGAACTTAAGATATTTCCAACTTGCCGTTTTAGGTTAACCATTATTCATTTCTAAGTGCTGAAAAGGGCAATAACTTGGTAAATATGGAAGCCATATTACATGTTATGTAACTTGACTAGATCATGTACTTTGTATTGATTAATAAGTGTGTAAACTAAGAAGCCATTGGTACAGGTAGAACTTAAGAAAAATCCAACTTGCCATTCTAGGTTAACCTCGTACAGACAGACGGACGGACGGTTCAATTACTATATGCCCGGGAGCATAAAAATGTGCACACAGTAGACTTTAAAACAACTGTGAACAATGAACATTTAGATCTAACAACTGTGGAAAATGAACATTTAGAACTAACACTTGCTCAAGTATGCTTATAAAATAAAATGCACATTATTAAAATCTGCACTGAATAAAAACATGTCATGAAGTAAATCATTTAACCTACCCTATAGAAAACTTTAATCTGTTTAAATCTCTGATAGAGCACATGTTTCATGCTAGTACCCAGATCCTGTCTGCTAAGGCACATCTTGAACAAGTCTAGGTTATGCTCTATGTGTAACTTGTTATGAACTGCTAGAATTTCATGAGCCTGCGCGTCTGCTGACAGAATTTTGTTCAAATACACTGACACATCTTCTGACTTGTCTTTCTTTAATGAGGGGTCATCTGCAGCACTGCATATCTTATGAATCAAACAGCAGACAACAAAATCATGCAGATTACACAGACTGGTTTGACTTCTTAGAACCGTAACTGGCACAGAGTCTATCACTTGAAGCATTTCCTTCCACTTTCTCAAAGCAAACAGTTCATCCAGTAAACCAGACAACATTGACCTAAATTCTGAACTTTCATGAAGAGTGAACATGTTTGTTTTAAACCTTTCTACAATATCACTAGTTAGTAATTTCAAAATCGGATCATCCCCTTTTAGAATATCCATGTCTTCCGTTGCAGCCAGAGGGACGATAAAATTCAACAAGCGCCGCTTCAATGCTGGAAGTTCATTGGATAATTTTTCATATCTGTAACTTTTAAGGTCTAACATACTCATGGAGGAAGAAGTCCTAGACCTGTTCATGCTAACTTGTAGGCTATTTTCAAAAGAACTCGAGCTTCCACTTATAGTAAAATGTCTGTCATCAAAAGCATCGTCAATCACACTTTCTTCCATATCATCTGAACATATGAGACTGACCAATGCTGCCACCAGAGGACAATCAGATTTGATATATTCCAGAGTGTTTGGTGTTAGGTTATAAGTTGTGTCTGAGTCACTGAGAGTTACATCCCCCGGTTTATTTTCCAAGTCACCACTAACAGAGAGAGTCTGTTGAGCATGAGACATTGACTCGAAGTCGAAGACACACATAAAGTCTTTACAATGAGGTAAGACATCTACATCAAACTTAAACTTGCTCTCATTTTTATGATCTGGAAAAGTAAAAAAAATCTTAATGGATTAGTAAAGTCAGTTATAAAAAAGAGGGTATATTAATATATACTTTCAAGTACAAATTTTCTTCTTATACTAACAAGACTGTACATAAAAGCCTTTTATAAAAACTAACATGAGTAAGAACTACAACTACTTTTCGTCATATGATTGGTAGATGGCAGAATAACTCTTAATGAACAAAATAATCCTTCTATGAGGAGAAGTCAATAAGTTCCCAGACTGGATTGATTACTCACACAGTTGACGTTCTTTACCATGATACTTCACATGATTTTAATTTCCTTAAGTTTGCACTGTGTGAAAAGAAGTGATTGTGGGCAAAAATACACTAGACTGACTTAAATACAGGTAGACAACATTATTTCTGAAGATTGACAATGTTACACGGAGGATATTGTTGACATCTGAAGATTCAGCCACAAAGCCAATCATAAAATTTAAATAAAGTATTGTCTGATGAGTTCGATGACCCTTAATAAGTGACTGTTACCAAGAGATGTAACTTTAATTGGAGAGACTTAATGTGTTTGAGTTTCCAGAAAACTTATGATGTCTTTAGTGATGGGCAATGAGAGATTCTTCATTTTATCATGACAAATGAAACTGTAGTCAATTTTAATGGCATTAGGGCATGTTCTGAATACCACAATATCAGCAGGGACATGGTACCCGCGGGGAGTACTATACCTGAATCTTTTTTAGGAGATGTCTCAGCATCCTGTATCAAAATCTTTAAGCTCGCTTCTTTTTCTCCACTCAAATGTGACTCAATAAATGCTAATAGGCCATAAGTTTCTTTATCAATTTCACTGACACCCTGACCCGAGATGAAATCTCTTCTGTACCAAAGTAACAACTCTGGAATCTTCACCTATACAAAACAATTACATAAAAAAATATACAAGGAGACCTTTTAAAACTCATTTATGAGAAAACATAAATGTCATCTTATGCAGTATCTAGATTTAATCTTTTTTTTTAACTAAGTACACATGTATATTAAAATGTTAAGATATTGCATCTGTTTCAATTCTATTACACCTATATCTCAAATATTTGAATATACCATGAAATTAAAGTTCTTGAATATCTGGTAAAAAAGTGATCCTCGGAAGCATTAAAAACAGCAAAATTACATGTAAATTGCCCACTCAGTTTGATTGAAGGTCTTGAAGGTCATATCCTAAATTGGCTGATCTTTTAAAAATAAGACAGGAAATTGTCAGAGCCGAGCTACCTTAAACAGTTTAGAGGGGTGAAATTCAGGGAAGAGGTACTTGTGATATACTGAAAATAAGGTTTGTCAAATATTGTTACAACTTATAAAATATAGGTACATGTATACAATTATTATTACAAAGATTGCAAAATATTTCAGGTGGGCAAAGAATAGTTTAAATTATAATGAAAACCTACATGTTTATTTTGTTTGTCTATATGCACACATGTTTGGAGGTAATCTTTCATAGATGTCTGTAGCTGCTCCTCTACTCTAGAAGGATCCAGAATCTAAAACATTTACAAATTCTTCAGTTATTTAGGACAAACGTAAAATAGTTTCACCATTTCATTATCAGAAACTTAACAAGAGCTGTCGGTAGGACAGCATTGCTCGACTATTCTTAGTGCTTGATAGTAAAAAAAAAGGCTTTATACAGTTACCTCCTCCTGTTTACAGGTTGGGGTCATGATGGTGAACAAGTGTGCAAAGTTTCAAAGCCATATGTCAATGGACTTTGAAAATACTTGAACTATTACAAAAACTTTAACGTAAATTCTAAGTTGAAAAAGGGGCATAATTGTGTCAAAATACTTGATACAGTTACCTCCTCCTGTCTACAGGTTGGAGTCATGATGGTGAACAAGTGTGCAAAGTTTAAAAGCCATATGTCAATGGACTTTGAAAATATTTTAGGTATTACAAAAACTTTAACATAAATTCTAAGTAGAAAAAGGGGCATAATTCTGTCAAAATGCTTGATAGAGTTACCTCCTCCTGTCTACAGGTTGGGGTAATGATGGTGAACAAGTGTGCAAAGTTTCAAAGCCATATGTCAATGGACTTTGAAAATATTTGAACTATTACAAAAACTTTAACATAAGTGGTTACGCGGACGCGGACGCGGACGCCGCCGCTTGGGTGACTACAATAGCTCTACTTATTCTTATCGAATAGTCGAGCTAAAAATACACATAAACATTTCCAATATATATATTTTTGTAATGAAAAACTTGTTGAAATATTGTTAAAATAATTTTTAATAAGCAAAAACATACACTAGGCCCAAAATATAAAGTTTTTGTCTATGCATGAACTTGGACATATATACATGTACATGTGCTATTTATTAATATAGTTGATTATAATATGCAATGTTTCAGAAATATAAAACCGTTGAAATTTATCAAAGCATGTCAAGGCTTTACAGAAGCTTAAAACTTTTATCTCCTATAGTATCACCTTGATCTTAAAGCTACTACCCTATGTCTTGCATGTGACACATCATCTTTTGGAGATCATTTCCTTGGTCTATCATTCCAAAATGTATTGATGAATGGTGAACCAGAATTGAAAAGTATACATAATGCATATTTTTTTTTTTAATTTTTCAATGTCAAATAATTTTACACTACCTGTAAAGGAGGGGCAGACACTGAGCACGATGTTGTAGTGAACAATGTCTGCGGATCAACACATGGAGCAAACTGACACCAGGGGTCACAGTCATGAAGTGGGTGTAACCTGTTCTCAAGTGTCTTCCCCCATTCTGATGGAGCCAGTAAACCACACCTGGTAATCTGATATCTCAAGTCAAATATACTGAAATCAAAATCCATATTTTCCACAAAATTATAAATTAATTCCATTCCTATGCTAGTTGAGAATTATATCAATTTTAATATATGTTCTTTTTTTTTCACCAAGAAACTGGTACATGTACATTGTATATCTGCTAATTTTGTGGTCTCTAAAAAGTGTTTGCAAAATTTTCCTTTCATACAGAATTTATTTTAGTTTGATTGTGTAGGAAGCTATAAGCTTATAGACACACTTTTAAATCTGTTCCTGGAACAAACCAGTACTGAACAATGAGTGTAAAGTTTCTTGCTCAAGAAAACAACAGCTTGCCCCTGACAGGGTTTTGAACCCGCACAGCTTGCCATCCATAGATTACTAGTCCAACATGTTAACCACTCGGCAAATTTTCCTTTGATGTGACCTACAGATATACATGTTGTTGGGACTTTAGGTGACCGTAGTTCCAACTAGTAGCAAGAAATTCTAACAAAGTTAGATGAATATGCGATCACAACTGTAACCTCTAGAGCATTAAAGTGGATTGGTCTACATGTAATGGGCATATCTTCTGTAAGTATTTCAAATATTGATAAAAACTATAGAAATGTACCATTTGGTTATTCTTATGAAGTATTTCTGGTAGACAGAATGTTGATAGATCTCTAAAGTGATTTAGTATGAAATATATTCATGATGAATAATAATATTTTGTTCTAGAACATTTTATTATCAGCGATACATGTATATTTATATGTCACATGGGATTAGGTTTCCCAACATCTGTATATAATTCTTTTGTGATTTGTTTTCACATATGATACTGAACACTATCAACATAATTATTTACAGTATTACAGATTTTCTATAATAGACCAATTCACTTTAACAACCAATATAGAATGTTAGCTGACAGACATCTGACCTATCCTGGATCACTCTACAGCATCATGAGCAGAAATTATCAAACAATAACCAACAAAATAAGTCAAATAAGAAAATAAATACATAAATTATTCATATTTAACAACCTGACATCTCCAAGTGGTCCCACTCTATAGGAGAAGGTACTGAGAAATGTGATCTGTTCAGTGTCTGACATCCTACTGTATGACTTCATACCATCTTTCTTTGAAGCATTGGTGTTTGTTGATGCCTTTAAATTTCAAAATAACTTGTATGTTATATGTACATGTAATACACTTCTTCAGTTATAACTTCAGATAATATAAATATGGTTATATGTTATAAATATAATTTAGTATAAGTCTTAGAATCGTCAAATGTCCATAAAAAAACAACAAAGTAACAAGAGCATTTGAACCTAGTAGAACACATTACAAGTTAATTAACAAAAGCTGTTCATTAAAGAGTCCATGCTCAACATTTCCATCCCTTTATCAATGAGGAAAGTCACATCAAAACTTAAATATTTCTGACTAGAAAAGTGCCAAAATTCTGTCAAAATGACAGCCAGGCATTCTTTCTAAGCAACCTAGCTTCTTAGCAAATGGCAAAATGCAAGACAAAGAAATGGAGTTGATCAGTTGCACGAGGCTGTGTAAAATATATGTGTGTATCTTTGACAAGTTTCTGAGAAATGGCTAACCAACAGAAATGATTTTAAGAAATGGATTTGTCAAAACAGGAATATAGCTGAGCTCCAAAAAAAAAGTAAGAAATATTCACTTGCCTTTTGGGAATTAATTTCTCATTTGATGCAGAATATTTTTACAGATTATCTCTGACAGAAAAGTTAAAAAGTTTGCTTAGAAATGGACCTTAACAAGCTGAAATGAGGCTTAAGTTGTGCGTGATTGGATTTCAGGATTAAAATAAAACCCTTTAGAAAGGGGTTCCCATTTAAACAGAGAAAAAAATCCAAGTTTGAATTAAAAAATGTTTAACAGTACTTTTGGAATAGACTTCACAAAATGGTTTGCTCATTCAGACACAAATGACAGGGTCAAAACAATGACTCCACATTTCTTCATAAAAAGGAACTATGACATTTTCTCTCTAACTACTATTCCTGCTATTAACTTTTAAACTAAAATTTCTAACCTGATTTTCTAACAGCAGTATATGATTCACATGACAATGGATGGTCATCAGCGTTAGCAGGTTGCCATAGAAACATGTCTTCTCTTGTTTATTCAACAGTAATAAATCAGCTGATTGGAGGAGTGACGTCTGCCTGATGATATTGTAGAAATCTGTGCTCTTTGTCAGTAAACTAGCACATGTGGTATCAAACAACCCCTGGGCATTACACCTTCCAGCTATATCTGTCAGTAAAATTTTCATTTTATTCAAAACTATCATAAGACAAGACATAAACCTAGTCTAATCAATGTAAAACTATTTATCAAACTCCTAAGTTTGCTGGAGAAAGACCTTGTCATACATTAGCAAAAGTAACCAATTCTGTTTTATACCAAATCATCTTTTCTTTTACTTACAAACAGGTAAAGAAGTATCAGTGAAATCTATATGAGTGACACAATTGAGCTACTATGGCCCAGATATCACTCATGTAATTGACAATTGCATAATGATCTTTAACTCGTATTATTTTAACAAAAGGAACAAGGATCTGTAAGTGATTTGCTAGTTTGGTTTAAGCAAATCAGAAATGATGTTACAGTTTAGCTAGACTGGTCCCTGGTGTTCTTCTTTAATAGGACAGGGAATCAGATTACAATTCAGCCGAACAACAATTGTGGACTTCGAATGCTGGATGGAAAGTTTGTTTGGTTTTAACACCAACTTTAACACATTTTTGGTCATATCTCAGCAGTTAGTACACTTAACTGACTTTCTTGGATAACTAACCAGTAATTACTAATTTCTTTAAAAGTGACCTAAACTAATCCCTTGAATGTCAAATCAGCAGTGAGAGACAAATAACTATCAGACTCAATGTCCCTGAACAATTGTCATTGAGAAATGATGCCTAACCCTAATGCCTAACCCGAATACCCCTGTTCTTCAAGTCCACTATTGAGCTAAGTGGGCAGCCATTGCAGCCATTAAATGTTATTGGTCACATACAGCTGCATTCTCCGGTTTTTTGAATGACAAAGTTGATGTGTCTAATATACCTTTCATCAATGCTACAAGCTTTGTGAGTAGGTTCCGCACATGTTCCTCAGGATTACCCAAAGTGCTCACTTCATTTACTTTATCTATGTTGTATACGATCTTGCCACTTGAAAACATAATTTCTGGAGAAAAAAACATTATACATTTTGTTTAGTTTCAGATTTTATGTAGAAGCTGAAAGTTTTCACAGTTTATATATTTTAGTGTATAAAGCTACATCTTATGATTTTTTTTTTATAAAATTTAAAAAAACATAAAATTATCTTATTTTGATTATTTTATAGAAGACTCTTGAAAGAGGTGTAACACAGAATGTCTCCATTATCTATCAGAACATGAATGCCTAACATAATAAAATGCTCCGGAACTAAATATCATTCTACTATTTCAGATGACATTATTTATGCTCATTTTTTTCATTGTTCAAATTGAACTTTAATTGACAATATATTTCAATAAATCTGGTCGTTATAATGGTTGATTTTGACCAACACTATCGATTATTTGAAAATGTTAAGGGTAAAAAATAAATCTACTAAATATATAAAAAGCAGACTGCCCCATCTTTTTATAAATTGATAGTTACAGATTCATTCTGACGGATAATTAATACAACACATCTCACAGGGCCTAGTGAGTTATTTATCGTTCATGTGAAGTAAATTATAAAATTGAAAGGAATTATGAGAAAATATTAACTTATTTTGACTTTCACCTGTTCACTCTATATCTACCCATGGATGGGCATAATGTCACTAGGTTTTTACTGTCTTAACAATGGTTTTGTGCAACCATTATTTGCTCATAAGGAAATATACAAATGTATTTTTTTCTTACAGGTATTGTGGACATATTCTCAAAATGCATTTTTTTTTGAAAAAAAAACTATAGGTAACAGAATTATAGCTTTACAAACTTTAAAATAACTCTAAGAAATGAAAGCAAATAATAACAATCATGAAAAACACAAAGTAAAAATAATTACCATCAAATACAGCAATTACTGCTGCATAGGTTTAGAAAGATAAGCAAAGATATGACATGGAAGACAAGAACTTAAAGATTCAACTTTAACTATTTGTTCTTACCTTGACAATCAGCTGTTGTTGCTACTGGTAACAAGGCTAGTCTTTTACTAGGTATACATATACAACAACTGTACACAATGATGTGTGTTAGGTTCAAACTCAACTTGGCAGCAACTTTTTCTAACCTGTAAATATACAGTAATCAATCTTGTTGTCATTCCTCATTTTTACCAGTTACTGTACATTGCAATAAATTCTTCAAATCAGTTATATTCTATATGTTTATTTTTGTCCCTGCATTTACATAACAATCTTTTCTCTCATAACAAAGTCTGTGAAAAAGGAATAAAAAAACCTCAAAAACTATTTAACGCAAGAATTTTCACACAAGAAAAATTCACAACAGGCCATAATTCAGTCAAAATCTTTGTCAGAGGTAAACAAAAACATAAATCTAACAAGAGCTGTCAGTAGGACTATTCCCAGAGCTTAGAAGTTAAAGATGAGCCTGGACAACATAAAGTTTTCTGTTTTCTGTCAAAATTTATATTCTATTACGCTCTCAAATAGGTGTTTCAACCCATTCCCTTCTGTAGTTTTGAAGATACCAACTTGTATGTAAAAATTTAACGAAGGGCTGACGCCAACACCAAACCATCCGGGAGTACAATAGCTCTCCCTAAACTTCAAATAGCCGAGCTAACAATAAATGAATTTTTATAATACTAACTTTGATGGAGCCATTTTCTTTTTAAACATCATTCTTCCAAGTATACGCAATGGGCCCTCCCCTAACACAGCAAAATAATTTGCTGGAATCACCATTGTTTCTATAAAAGGTAAATATCTACTCTATTAAAGAATTTTATTTCACAAAAAAAAATCAAAAAAATCAAAAAGAGAATATGATAGGCAAAAGTATTTTTGTATAATATATTGAAATATGCATAAATATTTGTATGTTTAAATATTTGTAAAGCCTTCCTGATGTTGATATTTAGTCAGTTCTTGTTTTATACTTTCCCATGAAATTGTTGAATGGTTCTGTCAAGACTAAACACTGAACAATTTCATTTAAGACATTAAACAGTCAAGTAAAGTCAAGACTGATGTATATGTATTACATATTTGATGTATATAATACATAATTACCTCTGCTGTGTGACTCTGACTCTGCTGTTAGGTATGCCAGCTCTTTACAGTGCTCATACAGGCTTAACAAGTAGTTCCTGTTGGAATTATGTCTGCTCACAGGTGACCTAACAACAATTAAAATATACATGAGTAAATTATTCAACATACATTATCAAATTAGTTAACATTAGAAGGACACTTATTTCTATTGTTGGCAAATGCTATATCAATATATTCTACCGTGTATGCAATATTGAATAATAAAACAAATTTTCTTAATTTTCTAAGCTTTAATTTATTTCATTTGAAATGGCAAATTCACTAATTCCTTGCATAATGAACAATTCTGGGTGTTACATTATTTCTAACACTTAGCCGAGTTTTGGCTAATCATAAGGAGCATTGCTATGCTTATCAAATAATCACCAAATAAATTCTACTATAAAATATTAGTTTTGTAACCCATGATTATGATGTTCTTCTGCAACCAGTATACAGCCTGATCGACCTTCTATACTGTTAGCAGTTCAATTTTAGCATTAAATTAAATTAAATTTTCTAAATCACAATCCATCACAATATTAAAGAACTGTTCCAATTTTAATCTGGGAAAGATTATTATGCAAACTTCAGGAAAAAATAGTTTCAAATATAATTTACCTTAAAATGATAGTAATAACACCCCCAGATGGAACTTCTTTCTCTAGGGTGCGTATTAACTGTTTCATATAATGATGAACTGTAGGTCTATCAGATTTAGACCCTGACAATGAACTTTGTGACCCAGTACTTCCCATTCTCTGTCTGAACTCTGACCTTGACTGGTTATGATGACCCTTGACCTTGTTTTGCTGGAATGCTTCTTCCGCCTTTGATATGCATTTTGAAAGACTCTGGTTTAACTGTTCACACTGTTTAGTTTTATCTGCTGTTAGAGGAAGTGTTGCATTAATGAGATAATACTGAACACTTTTCTGGAATGTTTCCTGCTCCTTACTGGGTATTTGATCTTCTGCTCCGAGACAAAGAAGACACTGAATTTGGTCCAAAATATCAGCAAACGTTCTAATTTTGACAACTCTTTGTCTTGAAAGTGGCACTGAAGTTTTTATTTCAAGACTTTGTGATGAATCATCTATTTCTGGTTGAGGTTTTTTCGGTTGATGGGATCTGATTGTGTCTAAAAGATGATTGCAAAAACATTCCACGTTTTAGCAGACGAACACATCAAATCTAGAAGTATCATCACTGGAATATTCTCCTGACAAAATAACTGGACAACATTTCGTGGAAGACTTTCATGTAAATCTATTTTTGGAATTTTAGGAATTGTTGGAAATTTCAGAATGTCATCTGCTACATCCGAAACTGAAGCTGTGACAAGTCCTGCAGCAGCCGCACTGGCAACAGCCTTAAGCTCCATCTTTCTTGGTTCTCTTATTGTGGTTTGGGAATCTTTTTCTAATATACTTTGAATAGCACGGCATGCTTTATGATAAGCCTGGGAGAAAAGTATTTCTACTGCCTCTGGAGTATCCTCCAATTTAAACAACTGAAAAAATTGGAATAATATGTTGATAAATGAACGAAAATATATGTCCTGAAAATATAATAAAATGTGTATTTCTTTCTTTTCTTGTACCCTTTTCATTACATACATGTACAGTTATAACACTTTGTCAACATTAAACCATTACACAGGAAATGCTGTCATCAGTTATCATATAATTGTAATCACATACATGTAATTATATAGGCTGCAGAGTCACATGTAAAATTTGGCATTATGGTCATCCAAGAGTGAATGGTCAGTGGAATACATGTAGTTAAAATCAAAATAACTTGTCACATTTTGTCATATTGTGTCCAATTTTATATCTTACCATGAAAAAATAATCTGTAATACACAGGACCAAAGGAAATTTTTTATAATATCATTCAGAATATACTGTATCTGTAACATTCAATTCTTAATAAAAGTGGGGCAGTCTTTTTATAATAAACATATTTATCATAAACAATTTTAATTATCAATTATATGGTCAATCATCATTGTACTTGACAATCTTTTAAAATATATTACAAATAAAAGTCCCATACAAAATACACCTATTTAAGAATATTTTTTATGAAAGTTAACATGAAATCCTAATTGAAAAATGTAGGAGTTGCGATCATAAGAGTATTTTTTCATTTTACATTTGTTAAAAATAGACAAAGAACCATAACTGATCAAATTACAATTTACAAACCTCAAAAAATATGTGACAGGGCATTTGACGATAATGATTCTTTCAAAGACAATAGCCTCTTTATAAATACAATGAATGTGACTCTTTATTGTCTCAAAAGAATACTCAAAGCAATAACCATCAAAAATCTTGTACCGTATATTACTTTGCAGAAAATGTCTGCCCAACTTACTTTAATAATCTGCTTAGTTTGTGTAATCTGTCCTTTTCTAATTGACATTGTCAACAGAGTTACAGGGCTAGACAACATTACAGATACTATTTTGGGTGACCTCATTTGACCCACTGGTTTCCTAGCAACTATAATATTTGACGTCTGCTTGTTGGCACTTTCTCCTGAATTCTTTCGTTCAGCTCTATCAACATCTGGTGCACCAAGAGGTGACTTACCACCTGATATATAAAAGTGTAAAAATTACTGAAATGTAAGCAAACAATCACCAACTTCATCAATATTTTTCTAGATGAATTTAGGGTATTTTATCTGATTTAAGTGAATATGAAATATATCCCAGTTGTAGAATAAATTTTCAGTTACTTCCAAGAGTGCATAGTTTGACTGAAAATATAATAAAATTCTCGATAGGAACTGATATCAGTTCAATATTTACACATAACAGAGACATTTTCATCTTATTGTTACAGTGTTTTCTATAGAAATTGCATTATAAATAGTCAGACATTATCAAAAATGGTGCCAAATGATGCTAACTAATATGAAGTCATGAAAACCTTTAAATGTTAAGACATTTTACTTTGCTATGTCTTTTAATGTACAGAAAGAGACCAAAAATCTATATTTCACTCAGTTTCAAACAGTGTGATATAACTTATATCTCACCACTTTATTCCAGCACATCATTAATTAGCATACTGTTAACATCAGAAAACAGGTAAACTATGAATGAAAATGACAGGCATTCAAACTTGAGCTTAAATCCAGGCAGGTAAATAATTTCTGGTTGTAAAGCCTTCAAGTGTATCAAGATTTAAGATTTTATAACTATAACAAATCTGACTTACTAGATCTTCTGCGTTTTCTTGTACTAGAACCTGTGCCATAACCTTTAATCTCCATCTCCTCATCTGAAGAGTCACCAGATGTAATGATAACTTCCTTTAAAACTTCACCTGGAGTTCTTGGAATGTTTTCATTTGACACAAGCTGATATCGCCAATGAGCTTCGCTTGTGTATCGTTCTAGTTGAGCAATTCTCTTTTGAAGTGTTTCCATGGTAATGCTTGATTTTACAAGACGACAAAGAGCCTCTTCTGTGTTAACATCAATTTCTGTTGATCTGCCAGGAGTAACTTCCCTTGATGACCTGTATCTTTCTCTTGTGTCTGCTTTATTTCCGAATAACTGAAATTTTGCTGCAGAAACATCCAGTATACAATCTTTCAGCAAAGCAAGAACATCTCTTACAATGTATTCATTGGCAATAAAACCAATAGTATCAAGGTTCAGTGAACTACTTGTGCTAATAGAGCTGATATTTTCAGACACACTTGATCGCCGACCTTCACTTTGCTGAGCTGCAGTCACTTTTTCACTTTTTTCAACTATATTTGTTTTCATTTCTTTAAGAGCTTTTCCAACTTTGTTCATGTCAACTTTATTTGCTACATTCACTTCAGCATCTTCAGTCTCCCCAAATGGTATGTCATAATCTATATTTAATGTATTCATAGAGGAATTTGTAACAGACAGAGCTGGTGTCTTTATTTCAAAAGAGTTTTTCGAGGGAGATAACGATGGAGTGATAGAAGATTTGCTTCCACTTTTACTCAAACCTTTGTGGTCCTCTTCATCACTTTCATACTCTGACAACAGCAATGTTTCTTGGACATCTTCATGTGTCAAAAACAACAGACTAAATATATTCTCTAGAATTTCAACCCTGAATGTCAATGGCAGAAGTTTTGAAAGCAAATGTTTAGTTTGTGTTAGTGTATGAGTAACCTTCTCTTTGTATAAAACCTGAATATCTGCATCTAATTTCTTTTCCTGCTCATCATTGGAAGTTAATGTATTCTCATTGTTACCACTGATAGAAGTGTCACTAATTTTCCTAGCCAATGTAGATTTATCCAAACTACTCTCTGAACCAATTCTTCTCGAAAGCTTCTGTCTACCTCTTGACCTAAGTGGATGTGTTAACCTCTTATCGGAACATTTTGCGCAAAACAAAATGGTGTCCATCATGTTTTTGAGAACACAATAGCCTGTAAAAATTGCCATGTCCTTTTGCTGATCAAGACTGGTTGTAGGTCTAGACTGGGCATCAGTTTCTTCCTCAAAGCGCACAGTCTTTACTTTCTTCTTGTCAGTTTCTTCTGTCTGTCCTAAATGACAGAGAAGAAAATTGAATTTTACAGTTTGTAAATTACCCCTCGACTTTAAATCTTAATATTCAGTTTCCTCTTTCTTAGTTAATACTGTGAATTCACTTAATTTCGTGCACATGAAAATTTGTGGTTTTGTCAGAAAAAACATTTTTGCGGGTACTTAAATTTGTGAACAATTTATTTTTCCAAAAGGTAAAATGTAAATAATGTGATGCAAAATAATCATACAGTGGACAAATTGAAATTTTGTTGGATCTTTAATTCAAGGATTGACCTATCCATGAAAACAACGAGAATCATTCTCAAACAAATAATAATGATTTTGCAGTAAAATGGTGAGATAATACTTCATAGTATAACATCACAGTTGACGAGGTTTTTTAAAACTTTTTATTGTATAAATTGAAAGGATAATGTTAAATCTACCAAAAACATACCTTTTCTAAATTGCTCACTAAAATATACAACACTAAACTCTACTGTTTACTTTAAGCTATGTAATTATTAACAAATCATGACCTATAAATTTTTGCTGTCAATAAATGCATAAAAAGAGATATATTTCTGAGAATTATTAATCATTATCTAATGATAAAAAACATGTAAATATAACAATTTAAAATATCTTTTTATAGGAAATGATATACACTGAGTAAAGACAAATTTATCTTATATTTATTTAACTGACTTTATCTAGCATTTCTTGAAGAAAATTTAATTTTTGATAGTAAATTATCATGTACCTTGCAAGGGAACTTTCTGTAGTAGATTCAGAACTTCCTCTTGATCAAGAGAAGACAACTTTGTTGAATGCTGTAGCACGTAAAGTACAGAATGACTTTCAAGACCCTTAAACAAATCTGTTGCTCTCTGAAACTGAGGTGCTCCTGTATCTTCACTTAGCAATGGTCTATAAAAAAAATATAAAACAAGAATATCAACGACAGTGATGGATGACAAGGAAATCTTGATCCTTGTGACCTCAAATCTTACATAAGAAAAGAGGTTCATGCAAGTTACTTATACACATATTTGGTCAATTATTAAAGGCTTTTAAATAAAAATAGAAAACTTTTCTTTTTTCCTGATCTGGAGACCTTAAACTGTACCCATAAGTTACCTTTCATGAATACAGTCACTAAAAAATGGGTCAAAGACAGAAAAAGCCGGGTTGCATTTGTACACCAAAGATCATGAGGCTGTGATGTTACGAAAAAAATTTACCATTGACCCATTAGTGTCGAAAATTTAATTAAGTGGGTAAACAGGAAGTGGATGAGCTACACACCTAAAATCCAATCCCACGGTATGGGACCATGTGTCAATGCTGTATGCCAAATATTCAAGAGGCTGTGATGAGTAGTTGCTGAGAAAACTGTTACCAAATTTCTTTACCATTGACCATTAATGTCTAAAATTTTTACTAATTTAACTAAGTGGAATAAACAGGAAGTGGATGAGCGAACAGACCTGAAATCTAATCCTACAGCATGGGACTATGTATCTATGCTGTATGCCAAATATCAAGAGGCTGTGATAAGTATTTGCTGAGAAAACTGTTACGAAAATTTCCTACCATTGACCATTAATGTCGAAAAATTTAACTAATTTAACTAAGTGGATAAACAGGAAGTGGATGAGCGACAGACCTGAAATCTAATCCCACGTAATGGGACCATGTGTCAATAATGTATGCCAAATATCAAGAGGCTGTGATAAGTAGTTGCTGAGAAAACTGTTACGAAAATTTCCTACCATTGACCATTAATGTCGAAAAATTTAACTAATTTAAGTAAGTGGATAATCAGGAAGTGGATGAGCATCAGACCTGAAATCAAATCCCATGGTATGGGACCATGTGTCAATGCTGTATGCCAAATATCAAGAGGCTGTGATGAGTAGTTGCTGAGAAAACTGTTATGAAAATTTCCTACCACTGACCATTAATGTCGAAAAATTTAACTAATTTAGCTAAGTGGATTAACAGGAAGTGGATGAGCGACAGACCTGAAATCAAATCCCACATTATGGGACCATGTGTCAATGCTGTATGCCAAATATCAAGAGGCTGTGATAAGTAGTTGCTGAGAAAACTGTTACGAAAATATTTTCCCTGCCCGCCTGCCCGCCCGCTGCCCGACATTCACCATACTTTAACCCGGATTTGCACCAGTGCAACCCGGCCAATAAGGTTATATAAAGGGAAGAAAAATCCACCCAGCCCTACTTCTTGAAAAAAATATAGAAGCACAATTACAGTGGCACTAGAAACAAAGCAAAATGTACAAATAACAACATGAGCAATTCCATTTGTTGAATTTTTTTTTATTTGTAAATGATGTAAATTTAAGAATGCTCATCTTTGTAAAATAGATATCATGTAAGATAGAATTTGAACCAAAGATTTCATATAACCTGTTGAGATCTATATAACCCACTACTAGCACAATGGGTCATATTAAGCTTAAATGGGTCATATTTCCCATTTATACCACTAATAACTTGTATTGATCCCTAATACTATACATCAAATACAATAAATATGAATTCTATTATTACATTTCTATAAATCCATCAGATAGTCTACTTACTTTGCTTTATCAAGGCACCACTGAATCAAGTCAATTTGATATGCCAATTTATCACAGCCCATTCTTATTGCAGGATGACTACATTCAAACTGAAACATGTTGTAAATAACAAATAATATTAAATAATCAACTTAAGTTTTCCTTATAAGTTAAAACATGTATATTATATTTAATACTATTATGTATTCAATTGTTATTAATTATTATCATAAAAGAAATAATATGAAAGTAGGCAAAGCCAATAAATGGGGAAGTGAGAAAAAAAAAATTGTTCATTTTTCTTTTTTCGTTTTAAAGGTGTCATTCAGCATTTCATGCACAGCTTACATTTTCAATCGGAACACCTAGACGATAATTCTTAAGCAGAAAAATCGCGACCGTTCCGTGGTCAGAATACCCCGCCAATTATCACTGAGTCACATTTAAAATGGCAACACCCTACTAGAAATAACACTTAAATATACATGTGTAGTCTATAGCCGGGCAAGCCAAAGCCTGGGCCCACATTGCGACCAAGCTTTTGACTCCCCTCTATAAAAACAGGAGCAAAGTACAAGTATTAATAACTATACAGTCATACTTCTGTCCTCATATGGCAGAATAAGCATCTTTAAAAAGAGCTTACTTACAACTAGTTCCCTAACATGTGGCATTGAGGGATGTAAAACTTACATAGCATTCAATGTTTATTTAGGTGAGTTACTTTGTAAAGTTATACCTTGTCACTCCACAACAGGTCTAGTAACTGTCTTGCTTCAGAACTGCTATAGCAATGTGTCCATCCCAACAAAAGCAATAATGGTTTCAGGGGCCATAACTCTTCTGGTTCAAGTAATCTTTTCAACTCAGAATACATGCTACATTTGATAAGGGCTAAACAAGTTTCCTGAAAAGAATGAAAAATTAAATTAACTTCTTTATTTCTACATGTATGAGCTTTTAAATGACATTTTAATTCAAAATATATTTCCATTTCCTGTTATTCAGATATCAAAAAAAAAAAAAAAAACCATTTTGAAAGAACTTAATGCATGATACATTCCAGGCAATCTTCATAAAATTTTGCCTTGTGGTTTAAGAAGAGATGTCATTTGAAACAATCGTCAAAGACGAACGACAATAACAGGCTTACAGATATATTAGAAGACAGAAATTGCTCCATAGAACTTTATTGTACACATACTATATAAGCTAAAAAGTAGCATCAGAACATGGCAATATTAGAGCCCAGGATAATGACTATTAGCCTTTTGTAAAGGAACACATGGCCAAGTATCTGAAATCTGGGCTATACAGTTTTATACACTCTTACCATAATGACTTCCAGGACATGTCTCTTTCTCTTCAATGCAAACATCAGAAACATCTTCCATCTTGTACCTAAATCTGACAATGTTGTAAGATGCAAAATTAACCTCTGCTCTTCCGTCAACTCAGCACAAACTTGATAACTAGACACAGCCTTGTTGGTCTCTGCTTCATAATCCATCCGACAGAATTCCTCCAATAGATGTGTATCCTGCAGTCCCATTAAAACAGAGACAGTTCTTGTTTTACTTAAAACATCTGGTTGAAGCTGACAATAATCTAATATTTTTGAAAACATCTGACGAACTGGTAAATGACTATTCTCCACATTAAAATCAAAGTTTGCTAATATTATGTACACCTTTTCTGCCTTTTCTAATTTCATATCTATGTCCAAATCTTCCTGCATAAGACTGTCCAACAAAGAATTTACACTGTTTACATAAACCAACTGAAAAGCTTTGTTGTTCTTGCTCAGCTGTAGATTCTCTGTCTTGTATAGTGACCATATCAATGAATGACCTAATAATGGTTGCCGTGACAACAAGGTTTGGAGAAATTTGAGAAGACCGGCTGACAGTGTCAAAGGATGGTCCACCTTTATTTTCGAGTGGATCCATCTGTAGTATAAGTACACTTCCTGGAAAGAAACAACAAGTTATAAGTGGTACAGTTATTATAATGGTAAAGTGAAATGTACAGTATGAGTAGGCAATCCCCATCTGAATCACATCATCTAATTTCTTTTATTCACCAATAAAAACAAAATGATACATTCCTTATGTTTCCATGGACAAAAGAATCAGCTATACAAGTTTTAAAAAATCAGCACTTGTGTGTAAGGAAATATATGTTTTGAGTGATCCAGAACTACTTGAATGAAAAGTTGTTTAGATAACCTTTCTTTAAAATGAAGGCTTTAATATTTTCAAATAACCTTTTCTGTAGTTACTGTTTAATGTTTGTCTAATGTTTTGAAATAATCAATTTAATTTTTTTCATGTTGATTTCTATTTTTTCTTCATCAGTATTTAATGTAAAGATTTCAAGAAAACTTTGGTAAGTAGTGTGACAATTCTGCGTTGTTGAGAAAGGACATGACACCTGTTACTACATGTATAACATTATGTCATACCAATGTTACAACCTAAAGCATTCCAAAAACAAGAACTGTCGGAGGACAGTAACGCTCGACTATTCGAAAATTTGTCACAAGGGTGTTTCATTGAGTATAATAATGCTTACCTATATGAATACATAAAATTGTCCGAAAAGGTACAAACTCTTCAAGTTTCAATACATTCTCTTCAGTAGTTATGGAGATACAAGCTTACATGCAAAAACTTAACCAAGAATTCATGAGTCGAAAAAGGGGCATAATTATGCAAAAAAGCAAATCAGAGTTATGGGACTTGTACCAATCATCTTAGATAATCACAGAGACCAAGTGTGTGAAGTTTCAATCCATTCCCTTCAGTAGTTATGGAGATACCAGCTTACACGCAAAAACTTAACCAAGAACTTCTAAGTCGAAAAAGGGGCATAATTATGTTAAAAGGCAAATCAGAGTTATGGGACTTGTGCCAATCATCTTAGATAATCACAGAGAACAAGTGTGTGAAGTTTCAATCCATTCCCTTCAGTAGTTATGGAGATACCAGCTTACACGCAAAAACTTAACCAAGAACTTCTAAGTCGAAAAAGGGGCATAATTATGTAAAAAAGCAAATCAGAGTTATGGGACTTGTGCCAGTTATCTTAGATTATCACAGAGAACAAGTGTGTGAAGTTTCAATCCATTCCCTTCAGTAGTTATGGAGATACCAGCTTACACGCAAAAACTTAACCAAGAATTTCTAAGTCCAAAAAGGGGCATAATTATGTAAAAAAGCAAATCAGAGTTATGGGACTTGTGCCAATCATCTTAGATAATCACAGAGAACAAGTGTGTGAAGTTTCAATCAATTCCCTTCAGTAGTTATGGAGATACCAGCTTACATACAAAAACTTAACCAAGAATTTCTAAGTCGAAAAAGGGGCATAATTATGAAAAAAAGCAAACCAGAGTTATGGGACTTGTGCCAATCATCTTAGATAATCACAGAGAACAAGTGTGTGAAGTTTCAATCCATTCCCTTCAGTAGTTATGGAGATACCAGCTTACATACAAAAACTTAACCAAGAATTTCTAAGTCGAAAAAAGGGCATAATTATGAAAAAAAGCAAATCAGAGTTATGGGACTTGTGCCAATCATCTTAGATAATCACAGAGAACAAGTGTGTGAAGTTTCAATCCATTCCCTTCAGTAGTTATGGAGATACCAGCTTACATACAAAAACTTAACCAAGAATTTCTAAGTCGAAAAAGGGCATAATTATGAAAAAAAAGCAAATCAGAGTTATGGGACTTGTGCCAATCATCTTAGATAATCACAGAGAACAAGTGTGTGAAGTTTCAATCCATTCCCTTCAGTAGTTATGGAGATACAAGCTTACATACAAAAACTTAACCAAGAATTTCTAAGTCGAAAAAGGGGCATAATTATGAAAAAAAGCAAATCAGAGTTATGGGACTTGTGCCAATCATCTTAGATAATCACAGAGAACAAGTGTGTGAAGTTTCAATCCATTCCCTTCAGTAGTTATGGAGATACCAGCTTACATACAAAAACTTAACCACAGGGACGCCGACGCCGACAAATGGGTGACTGCATTAGCTCGATTATTCTGCGAATAGTCGAGCTAATAATGTAAACAATAATGCTTTCATAATGTGATTACTATTGCCTACACTGACTGTATAACATGATCAGTAGACCATTTAAATTATTTAATTTATTACATCATGAATTATAGCCAAATATTCTTTGAATAAGAATAAAATATTTTATGAATGAAATATCAGTAATATCAGCAGAAAAAAAAACATTTAATTTTATTTAAGAATGTGCATGTTAGCTACACAACTACACATACCAAATTATTTCTTTACTTTGTGTTAAAAGTAACAAACATTTAATGAATATCTTTAAAAAAAAATTTGCCATCCACAAAAATATTACAGCTATCGCTCACTTCATAAAATATATATTTTAGATGTTACACTGAAACAAATATCCTCAATATGTTTTCTAATACTAAATCTCAAAATAATTTTAAATTTATAGAATAGCTAGTAAATGAAATTAAATCTAAGATTAAAACAATTTTTAGATAATGTTGCAATTCCAAATTGAATAAGTTACTTCAAACAAGAGCTGTCGGTAGGACAGCATGCTCGACTATTCTTAGTGCTTGATAGTAAAAAAAATGCCTGATACAGTTACCTCCTCCTGTTTACAGGTTGGGGTCATGATGGTGAACAAATGTGCAAAGTTTCAAAGCCATATGTCAATGGACTTTGAAAATATTTGAACTATTACAAAAACTTTAACGTAAATTCTAAGTCGAAAAAGGGGCATAATTCTGTCAAAATGCTTGATAGAGTTACCTCCTCCTGTTTACAGGTTGGGGTCATGATGTTGAACAAGCGTGCAAAGTTTCAAAGCCATATGTCAATGGACTTTGAAAATATTTGAACTATTACAAAAACTTTAACGTAAATTCTAAGTCGAAAAAGGGGCATAATTCTGTCAAAATGCTTAATAGAGTTACCTCCTGCTGTCTACAGGTTGGGGTCATGATGTTGAACAAGTGTGCAAAGTTTCAAAGCCATATGTCTATGGACTTTGAAAATATTTGAACTATTACAAAAACTTTAACGTAAATTCTAAGTCGAAAAAGGGGCATAATTCTGTCAAAATGCTTGATAGAGTTACCTCCTCCTGTCTACAGGTTGGGTCATGATGGTGAACAAGTGTGCAAAGTTTCAAAGCCATATGTCAATGGACTTTGAAAATATTTGAACTATTACAAAAACTTTAACGTAAATTCTAAGTCGAAAAAGGGGCATAATTCTGTCAAAATGCTTGATAGAGTTACCTCCTCCTGTTTACAGGTTGGGGTCATGATGTTGAACAAGCGTGCAAAGTTTCAAAGCCATATGTCAATGGACTTTGAAAATATTTGAACTATTACAAAAACTTTAACGTAAATTCTAAGTCGAAAAAGGGGCATAATTCTGTCAAAATGCTTAATAGAGTTACCTCCTGCTGTCTACAGGTTGGGGTCATGATGTTGAACAAGTGTGCAAAGTTTCAAAGCCATATGTCTATGGACTTTGAAAATATTTGAACTATTACAAAAACTTTAACGTAAATTCTAAGTCGAAAAAGGGGCATAATTCTGTCAAAATGCTTGATAGAGTTACCTCCTCCTGTCTACAGGTTGGGGTCATGATGGTGAACAAGTGTGCAAAGTTTCAAAGCCATATGTCAATGGACTTTGAAAATATTTGAACTATTACAAAAACTTTAACGTAAATTCTAAGTCGAAAAAGGGGCATAATTCTGTCAAAATACTTGATAGAGTTACCTCCTCCTGTCTACAGGTTGGGGTCATGATGGTGAACAAGTGTGCAAAGTTTCAAAGCCATATGTCAATGGACTTCGAAAATATTTGAACTATTACAAAAACTTTAACGTAAATTCTAAGTCGAAAAAGGGGCATAATTCTGTCAAAATGCTTGATAGAGTTACCTCCTCCTGTCTACAGGTTGGGGTCATGATGGTGAACAAGTGTGCAAAGTTTCAAAGCCATATGTCAATGGACTTTGAAAATATTTGAACTATTACAAAAACTTTAACATAAGTGGTTACGCCGACGCCGACGCTCGGGTGACTGCAATAGCTCTACTTATTCTTATAGAATAGTCGAGCTAAAAACAATGATCTGTTTTTATGTTAAAAAGACTCCTCCAAAAAAATCCTTTTTAAGATGAAGCTGATTTTCTTACAACAAGTCATTTATTAGTTTTACATTATTTGACACAAAATATATTTGAAAATTAAAACTCAGATTCATATCAGTAAAATTTCAGTATTGCCACAATAAAAATGAGTTGCAGCAGCATTTTGTATGACTCAGTAAAATATGAGTACCTTAAGGTGAGCATCTGTTATGTATGGACATATATCCACAAGGAGGAGATGAAACTCAACAAGGTACTTGTCAGGTACACTGTCTTCAATCTAAAATTATACAGAAAAAACAGGTGGATAATCATGCAAGGCGGTAAGCATCCTATACCAAATGTTCTGCCATGGAATGGAACGAACTTACCACATAGATTCCACATGGAATGACAGTAACCTGAACAAATCAAATAAAGAGCAATGATATAAACAATTAAAGCTAAACTTTAGTACGGTCCTTATTAATCAATAAATATTCATCAATTAAATATTGATGCTAAACAATTTATTTTTTATTTATTTCTATTGCTTGGCTTTTCAGTTACACAAGTGCTATAACATCATATGATGAATTTCCAACTTAACTAGTAAAGGGAGATGGCAGAATAATAGAATCTATCTTTGGGTTAGATAGAGGATAGGGAAATCCCAACCCAAGGGTGATCGGTTCCATCGGGAATGAGCCTTGGAACCGATTGCCCGAGGGTTGGGATTTCCCTATCCTCTATCTAACCCAATAATTGATTATTTTTCTCACTAACCTGGACACACAAGAAACAAAATATAAATATCAGTGAAACTACTTGCTACATGCATTACAATGTACCTTGTTTTGAAAAGCGGGGCGGGGCTTAGGCGCCAGACTTTCTATGATTGACAAAAAGCATTATATACGTCTGCAAAAAATTCTACTGACCAAGTTAATGTGTTAAAAATTCAATGAAAATAAATTCATATGAGATCCCTCATCAAAAAGCAAGGTTATCATGATGAAACATGTCAATATTAAAGTCGGAAAGTGTCATAATATAAGTGTTTATAAGGAATTCAGTCCATACTTTTTTAGTAATAGATTGATATTGAAATGGGCAGACCTAGGTAGAGTAGGACTCATTGCAGTGTGCAAGTTAATATCAATATATTTTGAATCCGTGGACAATTTAATAGATTAGCTCACATATTTTTAATACATTTTGACCTTTTGACGTTTCATTTTTGTTTAAAAAGGAGTGAATCACGTATGTGAGGTATTACAACGTTTTTAGAAGTGCTGCACGTTGAGTGTGAGATAAGCCCATGTGAGATAAGATTTTTCAACACTGCTAATTTTAGTAACATTTTTCTATCTGGTTAGTGAGAATCACCAATCTTATGCAAACATCCTACGTAGCATCCTGACAGAATTCGAAGTCCATACCATTTTAACTGCTCTATCATGGAGGTCCAGACTTTCAGTGAAAGTTCTTATACCACATTCAGGCATTCACGTATTTATGAATCCGTGTAAGGCTTTTTTTGAAAACAAATATCAAACAAATAAAATATACAAATACAGACCTGTGATTGTGTTTCATGTTTTAATTTTTCTGATTCCAACAAGCAGTGCCATGACAGCTGACAAGGAGAGGGGCCAGAGGTAGATGAAATACTGAAATTTAAGGAAAAATCATTCACTCTTTATTCCTTATACTTTTTAATGCTTACTTTTTAAAAATTTCTATTAGATATTTTCACCTTTCAAAAAGAAATCTTTGTAAAATGTTTACAAAAATTACACATTTTGTACAGAGAGCAAATCTAAAATTTCAACTTTGTTATTTCATTAATTACGATTTTATCATCAACACCTACAAGTAATCTTCAATTTTCATAAAGAAAAAATCAACAGCCATTCTGTTCAGCTGAGAAAGGGGAGGTTTGCTCAAAAAATGAAGAAAGTTTGAAGATAATCAACTCCCATGTAAACTCTCAACTTGAAACAACTCTTCAAACCCTTATATTCTTAATTTAACTCTGTTTTGTGCTGAATTTGTGGACAAAATATTCAACCGATAATTTAAGCATGTTATTCACTTGATTTTTTCAATGTAATATACATCAATTTATTATGAAATTTCAAGTTTTTAACATGTTTATCACAAGCAATCAACATGTCATGGGTCGTGTGTGCTCACCATTTGTTGAAAGGCTGTCTGGCAATATCTTTCAGAACACTGGAAATAGACTTATCTAGCCCATGGCACTCTAAATTCAGTTCTTCAATGCATGCTCTTGCTAGTTCCCATTGACCCAGGTAGAGATTGTTACAAAAATGTTGAAAAAGTAACTGCCTGTTACTGTCATTGTCAAAAACAAGATCATTTGGTTTTGATAATGTAGTATTAATATTTTCGTAAGCCATTTTCGATCGACTTAACAACATTTTTCATTATACTGTGAGTATGTGGCATTTTATCTTATTTTTCAATCGAGGAAACACAATATCCGCCTTTCTCGTCCACCATTTTGAGGTCATGTGACTAAGATTCACGAATCATGAAAAACAAGACTCAAACGTTTGGTTGATACAGACTATCATTTTTTTCAATAAAAACAAAAATCTGAAAATGGCAGGAGAACCATCTTTGAAAAAATACAAAATTTCTAAAGAATGCATCTTTGAAAAGTACTGGAACAAACCTGATGCTGTTGAAGCATTAAAAGAACTACTTAAAAGTCTTAAAACACCTACTGCATACTGTTTCGGTTTGCTAAAAATCCTGAAGTGCAATGCTCACAAGGGGTTTCCATTTTCACAAGCATATTGCGAAACTAAAACATACTCAAAAGAAACCAGTGCTGGAGTGTCATCTATTGATGTGTATCTTTTTTCAACAGTTTTCAAACGTGGCTTTGAAATGGTCCTGAATTACACCATTGACAAAAATTATGTTCCTTCTAATCGCAGAGATAGAGTTGCGTTGGAAAGGCTGTTGAATGTATTGGATAGTGTGAAAGGTAGATTTATAGGCTATATCCTGGATTAGATCCCGGGGTCTAAACCAGGAGTATATATAAGGTTCATTCCGTTTTCTCTAGTATATTATAAATATAAGTTTTACTCGTGAAAAATACATAGGGGTCTAAACCAGGAGATTGCCGATTTATACTCTATGAATTGTAATACCTACTCATAAAATGCTTGTATTGCTGATAATGAAATATATGCTCAATGAGTGTCCATCTGCCCTTTCAGATACTAAAACTAGTAAAAGCAGCTTTCGCTGTCGAGTAGCCTAGGGATCCCAGACATGCCCTTAAATGGTTAATTTTGAAGCAGAAATTGGTTAACATTTTTCCTCAATGCAATTTCCATGGAGTACAGGCCTATGATGGGCAAGTGGCGGCATGGCAGTGTGGTAAACACGTCAAACTTACTAGTAATCTAATGTTAGCTAGCTGCATGGGTTCAAACCCTATCAGTGGCAAGTCGTTGTTTCCTTGAGCAAGAAACTTGCTCATTGCTTAATACTGGTTGGTTCCAGGAACAGATATGAAAGTATATCTATAAGCTTACAGCTTCCTACACAATAAAGCTAAACTAAATTCTGTATCCAGAGATGGATGGATGTAAAAGAAGTTACAAAGGGTAGGGTAGTCCTTGGACACATCAGAGATGTAGATAACATATTATCTATGTCTCTGGACACATTCTAAACTTAGTTATGCCCAGTTTAAATTCATGTGTTTCAATTTCGAGCACTTTTTTTGATATCACAGTGACATATTAACATGAAAACTCAACAGGGTTAATAATTTATAAGTTAATAATTAGACAATTCTATCAATGATTTTCTGTTCTGTGACATTTTTAACTTAATTGTTTTAATTTCAAGTACTTTGAAATGTCCTTTGAGTATTTTAGTACTTAATGTTAACACAGCAAATATTTTCTGCAGATATTGAAGAAGCATTGAAAAATGGCAGATCCAAAAAAGAAGTTAACTGGACAATTACATTAGCTCATCATCTTCTTCAACAACTGGCAGTCAATCAGACATATGTTATTGACAATGAAAACAATGGCAGACCAAAAAGGCAGCGGTGTCCTTGCTGTGAACAACCTATCACAGGACGTTATAGAGACACAAGTATTGGTAAGCCTATAATTATTTTATACTCTCTCCCTCCCACACACACATGCAACAAAGATGTAAGTGGGTATAACGTACTTGAATCAGCTGTTTCCTTTGTACGTCTGTCTGTCTGGTCATCTGGTTTTGGTTCTCGGGGGTATAATTTAAAAAACATTGGAGGTATCAACTTGAAACTATATAGTTAGATAGATCTCATTGAGGAGAAGTGCATTGCCCAGGTACCATAATTTTCTTTCATAATCTTTCTTGTAGGTAGGTAGGCAGGCAGGCATATAGACATCAGAAAATAACAATACATAATACAACAAATTAATTTCTACTCATTGAATACAAAATCTCATACAAGACATCATACAAACAAAAATATCACACTACATATCACATGTTACTTGACTTTGTATCATTATCACAGATACTGCGGTGTTACTGCCAAGGAATGTTAGATGTATATATGCAGGATAGTCCATTAAAATCATATACTTATTTTCAATGGGGTCTTAAAAATAAAAAAAATGAAACAATAACATTTTTTACTTGAAATAAAAAAGAAATAAACTGATCTACTATCCACAATACAGCATTTTATGCATTTTGTACCACATAATCAGTGTTGGAGTATTAGAATATATATGTGTATATACGTTTTTTACAGGGTCTCCATCTGTGTGGCATGGGAATGTAGACCTAATTATGGACTCAGAAGTACCTATCACTATTGCAGAAGATGATGATGAGGAGATATTTGAAGGGAAAAAGTCATCATTTAAGACAAGGCTGTCTCATGAATTTCCAGCTAGATACAGGGATCGGCTTATTGCTCAGACAATTGTGTTTTCTTTTCTGGAGAAAAAAGAGAAAACAACATTTGAAAACTACCTTATTCCAAGTATAGGTGTAGATAATGGTCAATTTGTTATCTTTTTATACGACAGTGAACATGATATATTGCTTGAAAGTAAAGTGATAAAACTGATCACTCCATCCGGCAGACTCTTTCAGTCTGCATTGTTAGCTCTTTGGCTGGTAATTAATTATAGTATAACGTGCTCTGGAGTAACGGCACATATGAAGAGTTGTGGTTTCACCGCTGACTTTCCCAAACATGTGGGTAAACAACTGAATACATATCAGAATTGCTTAACTTTTGAATGTGGTCATGGAAGTGAAGTAAGAGAGATGTTTGAGCCAGATATTCATCCCATTATAAATGCACATTAGATTAGCTTATTTCAGACTTTGTTCCTCACAACTTGGAACAAACACATTTGAAATATGTTTGAGCAAAAATCAAAGGGACTCAAGGATAAAAATATTTTAATTTCTTTATTTATATCTTGACTTCAAGGGTATCTGCTTTTTCCTTTTCTTGTCATGATTACCTGACGGATTCAAAATGATAGAACTTAACTCAGCTTCATGCAGTTTGATCATGATAAAACTTTTTTTTGTACAATAGGAAAAGTTGAAGGAGGCATTGCTGTATGTAGCTGATGACCTGTAGTTTTAAGTGATTGTTCTCATGGACCTAGTCTATAAATATATCTTTATTTTGGAGTTAATAATAAACATCTGGATGTGCGGATACATGACTGATGTTGTATAATTATGGTCCTCTGTTAGAACAGCAATAAACATGTATGCTTTAGGATATGTTTTGTGATATCTTGAACAGAGATCTGGTAATTACCTCAACTACATGTATTTGAAGAATAGGGAGAGCTACTTTACTCACCTAGGCATCAGCGTCACACTTTGATTTAGTTCTTGTGTGCAAGTTGATATCGCCAAAACTTCTGAAGGGAATTGGTTGAAACTTCACACTCTTGTTAGTTCGACTATATAAATCAAGTGACCCCTGGGGCGTGTTCAATATTGAACCAATGGGCTTCATTCCTTCAGTTTTGTAAATGGATAAACAAATACTCGAGACTTCTTATTGCTATAAAATATTTATTTTTCCATAACCATCTGGTATAGAATGTATATAAAGTTATGTTTAATGTCATTCATACAATGTATGCGATTCTATAAAACAGGTTTTTATATATATTTACATAAAAAAAATACATTGTGGTTTTCATGGAATGCTTAAAAAACATTTCAAACACTGGTCTAGCTTTAAAAATATAAAAATTGGCCACAACTGCGTTAAACAACACAACCTGCATATAATAACTGGATAACACCACGTTAGTAAAACAACCTGTTTACTTAATATACAATTATATGATTACATAATAAAAATGGAAACTAAAAAATATAGCTTATAAGCTACTAAATTGTATTGCCAAAGGGTGAGAGAATGCATATTTCAATTTATCCACCATTCAGGTTGAATATTTATTGTCAAACACGTGATGCAAGATTTAACTTCCAATTTTCTTGCTATAAATTCTGGAAGATTTTGTTGTTAATAATGAACAGGTGTAAAATTAACTGCATTACATCAGAATTAACATACAAACATTAAATTAAGTTAATATTTAAAATATGAAATTAATTCTGAGAATATGTAATTGTTAGCAGGAGAACTTTGACTTCAGAAAGGTTAATTTAACTGACAGCACATCTGAAATCCAGACCATTATAAACCCTACAAAATAAACCATCTCAGCAATTATAATATGAATTACAAAAAGTACATATTTCAGCAGAAGACAGTGAAATAGCATTGATTATTTTATAAAAAGGCATTTAGTATAATTAGTTATTTTTAGTAACAAATCAGTAAATTTAAAAAGTATATCAAAAGAAATACTAACCTATTGGCCAGTAAATAAATAATTTATGTGACAAGTTCTATAAAATGCATACCAGTACAAATTTCTAGCAAAGTCAGGATCTACTTTAAATGAGATGGGTATAAAACAATTTAAATTGCAATAATTTTTTTTTTTGTAACAAAATAAGTTTAGAATCTTAGTAAAAAGTAAGCCTGGAAAATTTGCTTTGACATTAAATTGTATCAATACTGACCCATTTAATGGAACTTAAATTTCTTAAATATCAAAATACTTCAATATATATTATTTGTGAAAAACACAATTAAAACACCTCATTGTTTAATTAAATCATATGTGTCAGCTAATATTTATTAACACATTTAATGTATTTTTCTGATAACTGAAATTTAAACACATTAATAAGCTGACATGTAAATGTTTCAGAAACTTTGCTATGCCAGATGGGATGTTTATTAGAATTAATATGGTATATAAAAATAATTTCTATTATTTATCAGCTAAGTCAGAGAAGGTGGATATATGCAATACAAATGATATCTGACATACAGAAAAAAGAAAGAAAAATAAATTTGTATTTACAGAACTCATATAGGTGTGCAACTACTAAATTTGTTCATAATAAGCTTTATAATATCTTAGTTGCCACATTTAGTGGTGCTGTACATATATACAGTGATAAAGTGGAGTAATTCAGTATGTATTAATGGTTAGCTAATAGTGAGAGCATTTTATTATAGGTTATACAGGAATATTTACATTGTACAGTATAACGAAATATTTCCTTTTTCCCAATTATGCATTTGTGAGCAACTTGAATACAAAACATAATGTTTAAGTAACTCCTATACTTTGACTTGATTAATATAGGGTTGTGTAAAATTTTGTTACACTATCTGAAATGGTTATTTTAAAGTAAACAATGTTAAAAAATGCCACAAATTTGCCTGACTACACTACTCTTTTACTTCCTGGTCATTTATCAAATAATAACAGAGACCAAGCTGCTTCAAATATATAAGAATCAAGAAAATCAACACCTTTTTTCCCTTGCCCTTAAATAATAGTGATCATAAATTATATCCGTTCTTCATCATTGGCCTAAAACAAAGTAAGTTCAGCA